TCTAGAAACTTTATACAAGAAAATGGCTTGGAATGTAAAAGTTGCTTTCTTCCCTGTTTTAAACAGATTAACCCAGATTAAGCCTTTTTCCAGATAAACTCATTTGCATGTTCGTAGGTCTAATTTACTTACTTTAAAATTGCTATGCACGTTCAGCATTAAAATAGGACACCAGATTGATTATCCAAGTCACCACTGGTAACCAGGTGCAAGGTTCCCAGGTTTTGGCCCTATGAACTGTATGTTTATACCTGGTGATAAATAACCAGGAGGACTTCTCAGGGATGTCCAGCTCAGATTGGAAATCCTAGACTGCAGCATCAGACAGTGCCCAGCTGTACCAGGTGTGCCGGTTAACAGTCCCACCCGCACTGTATAGTGCATAGACAATCCACATTCTTGCTGAAGCTTAGATTTGACTAACTTTAAAAATTTTGCCAATGGCTGGGAATGAAATGGTATCTCTTTGTGGTCTCATTTTGTGTTGTCTTGATCACTACTGCATATTCATTATTCATCGATATTTACCATGACAAGATGACCAATCACTTGGTATTTGTGTTTACTCTTCTACTCATTTTTCTTCTGCATTGTTTCTTTCTTACTGACCGTTGGAAATGTTTATTTTATTTTATTTTATTTATTTTTTGGTATGGGGCATTGAACTCAGGACCTCGCAATTACCAAGCAGGCGATTGTGCTGCTGAGCTAAATCCTCAGCCCTGGAAGTCTATTTTAGATGTATGTTTTCCTTTGTTATTTATTCAAAAGCTCTTTTAAAAGCTTAAATTTTATATTTTTATCTTCATTGTGGTATGTTTTTAGGTGCATGAGTTCTTGGCTTTTAATAATAACTTACTGATATTTTCTCTTTCTTCCTTACCCTGAAGTTATTAAAATGCACCCCAACAAACTCTTCTCCAAGGCTTAAAGTTTACCTTCTGAATCTAAATTTAAATTATGTTTATGTGCTGTGTAAAGAATGTTTCCTTCTTTTCTGAATGGATAACCAATCTCAGCTGCATTTACTAATAAGGCACTCATCACACACAGTTACACTGTCTACTCACCTTCCAAGACTCTCTAGGTCTTTTTTATTTATTTACTTGTCATCCTGCGATAATACCACACTTTGCAGTTACTATTGCTTTATAATAATTTCCAAAATCTGACAAATAAGTCCTCTTTCTTAGTTCTTCACAAGTATCTTTCAGTTGTTCATATTGGTATTTGCCATGTAGTGGCTCTTTCAATTGTTTTTCATTTTTTATTTTAATGATTCTATTTAGGATCATTTTACTTCTATTTGAAAAAATTTGAGGATTTGTATTGGTACAGATGTTCCACACTTTAGATTTTTGTTCTCTAAGTCTTTGTTTTAATTTCACTTTTGAACATGTTTGTCAAATGTAGAATTCTAATTCTTTCAATATCTTAAACATGTTATTTCTAGTTTTCTCTAGATTCATCATTTCCATCAATCAGTAAATTCTTATCATACATTTTAAAAAGTAATGTTTCTTATTTCTAACTGCTTTTTTTCCTTATTTGTATTTATTGTTGATTTTATAGCATTTCTTAAACTTAGTGTATTATTTTTCACTGTATAGTATTCTTACAACTTATCACTTTAAATACTGCCTTTATGCCATTATTTTGCTTTCTTTAGAATTAAATTATGTTTGAAGCAATTAAAATATATACTTGTCATATATTACTTTTTTCTATATTTTCCATCCTTTTTCTTATGTCTCAATATAATGTTTTCTAGTGATCTATTTTCAAGTTCAATAATTCTTTCTTCAGCTGTGTTTAGTCTGCTGTTACCAATTTGCTAAATTCTTAATTTTAGTTATGCATTTTGTAGTCTAAAAAAATTTTATTTCTGGCACTAGAGATTAAACCCAAGGCCTTTACACTAAACTACATCCCCTGCCCTTTTTTATTTTTGAGGTAGGGTCTCAGTAAGCCACTAAGGTGCTCAGCCTAAGCTCAAACTTAGGAAATTCTTGTCTCAGTCTCCAGAGTGCTAACTGAAGTTCTTCCCTACACTTCAATATGTCAACCTAGTTTAAACACCGTGCCTGATAAATCTGGTAATTGAGTCTCCCCTACAAATCTGCTTTTCTGACCTGTTTTCAATTTTCTTCCTCTCGTTTCTAATCCTCTGTCTTACCTGGTAATTTTTTTTAGCCCTATACTAATTTGTTTTATCCCCATGCTTTGCATGGTAATTTTTAATTGGATGCCAGATGTTGTATAAAAATTCAGAGAAGTAATCAGAGATTCTAAATGACATTATGTTCCTCCAGGAAGGATTCACTTTTGCTGGTAGCAAAATTAAATTGGAGCCAGATCAACTTAATCCTGTTTTGGAAGGTGTTGATTTGAATCTGTCTTGTGAGGACAAGACTCTTTCCACACAGCTCGCTTAGGTCCTGCTTTGCTCTTCAAAGATCTTATGTGAACCTTGGACTAGCTGTCAGGGCTTCTGTCTTCTGTAGGAAATAAATCCTGAATGTCTGCTGGCCTGTTAGTGCAGTTCTCTGTACACTCTCCACTGTGTTTACAAATTGCCAAATGCTTAAGGAGAAAAGCAGTCCAGGTTCACCTCTGAGTCTCAGTTCTTAGCCTTCGGGTCTCCCTGCCTCACAGCTATCTGATCTCTTCAAGTGGACTTTGTATTTTATCCAATTTTTCTAATTATTCTCAGCAGGAGGTTTTATGATAAATGTAGTCACATAGCCAGGCCTTCCTATATGAATTTTAGAAGCAATTTACCAATTTTTTAAAAAGTGAGTTAAAAAAAAAAAAACTAACTCTGTGTCTCTGGAAAGAATTGACAATGTTATAGAATTAAGATTTTCTATTCATGAACATGGTATATTTTCTTTTAGGTCATCTTTAATGTGTATTTTTAGTTTTTATGGGGTTTTTTTGTTTTGTTTTGTTTTGTTTATAATGGGCTTGAATACACGATAGGTTTATGCGTGGCTACTTCAAATTTATGTTACTATTTTTTGGTACCGGGCATCAAACTCACAACTGTGCACTTGCCAGGCCACTGAGCTACATTCCCAGCCCTATGTTACTATTCTAATTGGTATAGTTTCACTATATCTAGTCAGTATTACTAAGGTAATGATTTTGTGCTACTTCTTATAATTTACAATTCTTTTGCATTTTCTGTAAGCAATCATATCATCTGAAAATGATGAGAATGCAGTTTATTTAATTATAATATCTACAGGATGAAGTTCTGGGATAACAGTCGCAGCTTCCCTGTTTGACACAGTAGGAAGCCAACCACGGAGCAACCCATGGTTGTGGCTGCAGAAACCCCACCCAGCTCCACCCAGCACGGAGCCCACTTCGGTGCTGGGGCTGGAGGGCTCCTGATCAAACAGCACAGAGGAGGCTTCTAGTTTCAGGACTTAATGAAGAAGAAAGTGAAAGAAACAGCAAAATAGAAAATCGTGTCTGTCACAGCTACTTAATTTCACTAGTTTTCATTGCACCCAGCATTTTTATTTTCTTGGGATTGCATATGTTTAAGGATCTAGTATGTAGTGCTGCGATCGATGATCATACAGTAATCATTTATTGACATGAAAAGAGAATTAGTCAGAAATCAAGGCTAACAGGTAGACAAGGAACCATGTGAATCCAAAAGAATTCAGGGCACCAAGAGTCCTTAAGTGTCCAAGACAGGATCAAAAGCTCATGTCACATGGAATAAGTGACATTTCCTCAAACAGAACTCCATCAGGCAATGTGCATAATAAGACCACAAGAGCTGGGAAAGACACTTAGTATGGAAAAATAAAATAAAATATCTTAAATGAAAATTCTCTTTCTAAACTAAGATTTTTAAGAAAAGGCGAACAGGGGGCTGGGAAGCTCAGCGCCTTAGGTACCTGCCTGGCAAGTGTGAGGTCTTGAGTTAGATTCCTGGTACAGAAAGAAAGAAAGAAAGAAAGAAAGGAGGGAAGGAGGGAAGGAAGGAAGGAAGAAAAGAAAGAAAGAAAGAAAGAAAGAAAGAAAGAAAGAAAGAAAGAGCGAGCAGAGCATTTCTGGTGGAGATCTGAAGCTGAAAGGAAGGCAGGCAGCTATTCAGTTGCCTTGCTGACTAAAGAACAGAATGTGTTTTTTCTTTAATCTGACCAGGGAACTACGGAGACAACCAGGCCAAGGACTTAAATGGTCTCAGCTTCTAAGGTGTCACTCACTGAAAAGCTCAAAGGAAACAGATTTTCTGGTTCAAAGACAAGAGTATGTTACATGTTACTGTGGTCTCTTATTTATTTAGTTATCACTAAACACCTAAAAGAGATGCTGAAATACAAAAATGTAACCCAAACTCTTACGGGTTGAAAAATACTCACTTTGAGGGTAAAGAGAATTTCACATTTAAGGAAAGAGAAGCCAGGAGAAAATATAGCTACTTTTCTACTGAGGTTCACTCATCAGAAAAATATGGGTCCTGTGATTCTCTGGATATCAATTACAGATTAAAATGAAACTACCGGAAAATCAAAATTAGCTGAGGGAAAGGTGGCACACTAAATAATTAACTAACATCCACAAACCTCAAGTCATTCTAGGTTATTACCAAACCTTTACCAAAATTTGTATGATGTATCCACTTGGAAACCTATGATTCAATTCTTTTTTATTCGGGTTTCTAGTATAACCAAAATCCCAGAAGTGAGAAGAAAAGAAAGCTGAAGATTAGCAAAGGGTCAGGTTAACACACAAATTTAAAAGTCACAAGTCCCCAAAAATGACCCAGAATTTCTGTATTAGGCCGGTGGCGTTATTTGTAGTAACAATGCTTAGGCTGTAAGGAAAATATTTAATTAGACTACTATGTGAAATTTCATTTTTTTTTAAAAAAACAGAGTTCTTTAAACAGTAACAAGCTTGGTAAATCATGTTGGTTCAACCCTAACATTCCCTTGGCCTGTAAAGAATGACCGAACAAAGTGTACAATAAAATGTTGATGTTTTATACTGATTTTATTTAAATAATTAGGTGAAACTGATTAATACCCGCCAGGACAATAAATCAGACATTTAATTGTACTCTCATGGTTACAATAAGTGACACTTGTGTGCAAACACACCCATACCCGCACACAGCGAGTGCTGAGATGGAAAGGATGGCTGTGATTAAGAAACACTGAAAGTTTAAGGAAACATTTTTAAAATTCAATGTTTTCATTCAAGGATTTTTAAAATATGAAAATGAGTAATCTAATTTTGAAGAAATCAGGCTGTAAATTAATAAACCTTTCACCAATTTATCACAATTCTTTCTACAAAATTATGAGGAGAGATCACATCAATGGTAAATCAAATGGCTGCAAGGTGGGGTTTTTTGTTTTGTTTTGTTTTGACCAGGAATTGAACTCAGGACGTTGTGCTTGCCAGGCAGGTGCTGTGCCACCAAGGTATCTCCCCAGCCCCGTGCAAGGTGTTTTAACAGTAACTATGGTATTCCAACCAGCTCTTGAGACTGAGCTAAAAGTTCTCTCGATCCAGCTGAAAGAAGTTATCATTGACTGAAACATCCACAAGCCTCAAGTCTGCTCTGTCCCCAGATTTCTCTTCTGAGGCTTCAGTGAAAAACCAGAACTCTGTCCGGAGCCCTGAAGACAGCAGGACCGAGCAGCGCAGCTGTCGGGGTGCTGTTCTGACCCAGGACCCAGGATCCTCCGATCATCCTCAGTGGTAAGCCTGCAGTGGGCAGGCGTGGGAGGAGGGAAGAAGCACAGCTGGCATCCGTCTCTGGCCACTGAGGAGGTGATTAGTCACAGAGACTGCGGATCCAAAATCTGCAGAGTTCTTCTAGTCTTGAAAGCAAAGACGCAGTCCGTGGCGGCTTGTTCCTGACCTTCCTTCTAATTCCGGCTGTCGGGTGCAGCGGAGCTGGGGCTCTGCTGGCATCAAGGGTCAGCTGACTGGGGAGGTTTGGGCTCCTGAGGCTCTTGCACCCCCATGGCGAGGGGCTTTGCCACGTAGGAGGGGAGGTGAAAGCTTTGCGCTGTGACCTGGGGACCAGGTTCCTTGTCTTTGGACAGCGGGAGCCAGCGGCCTTGCTCTGTGCCCACTCCGCATGCGCAGAGCTCCTGTGTCCGCCACGCTGGCTGTCCTGACCCTGCAGAAACAGAATTGTCAGCGCTCACGTTATTCACGCAGTCCAGCAAGAGACCCTGACAGCAGTGGCTGTAGCACAGGTCTAAAGTAAGAAACAGGAGGAACTTATTGCTGCTCTTGAGCTCTCTCCGTGCCCCTTTGGTGTCCCCACCTGGACCATTAATGACTTCAGAATAACCTCTGGCTTTAGACACCATGGCGTTCCTTTCTCCGCAGGGTCCCCTGCCCTGGCGGGAGGGAGCTCCGCACTTGGCCTGCGCCGCTTTATATCAGCAAAGGTGGCTCTGCCGATCTCCTGGACCTATTTCTATGGCTTTCCAGGGACAGAGAAGGGACCAGCACAGAGCCACAACGGACCTTTATCTTCTTCATTCTATCTCCTGACCCGATCTCTAGGGGAGGGTCAGGAGGTGCAAAGTGTCCCTCCAACATTTACAAGGCAGCTGGACATGATCGGGGATGAGTCGCTCATACCGGGAGACTCGGAATGTGGCCCTCAGAAAATGGATCAAATTATAACAGAGTGAGCAAAAAAGCAGACATGCTAAGCCGGGCATGGTGGTGCACTCCAGTAATCCTTGCCCCAGGGAGGCTGAGGGAGGACAGTCCCAGGTCCACGGGCAGCCTGCGTTGCATACGGAGTCCATTGCAGTCTGGACTACACAGTGAGACCCCGTTTCCAAAAAAGTGCACATTCTAATGGGTCCCTGAGAAGCAGGCTAATAATAAATTGTTAGCTTTTTTCTGAGTGTAACCACATTCCTGTCAAATCATTGTTCTACTGATAGACTTGCAGAGTTACATGTACCTCTATTCAAAGTAACTTTATTAAGAAAAAAATAATGTGCTTTAGCTGCTCAAGGAAAAATACAAGATACCTTGTGACTTCTAGTAGTGCCATTAATAATAACAAAAACCCAAGCAACTCCTGAAAATACTGAATTATTTAATTAGTCAGGCAAGAATAATGGTATATCCTGCATATACCATTTATATTTATATCAATAAAACTCTTATTATTATAGCTTTCACATTCAGTTTTTAAATGTACCTTAATATCCAGCTTTTGATCAAATTAGGCAATAAAGTCGTACTGAATTCATTATTTGGGGATGCATGGCAGTATATGTATAAGAGTGGGATTTAGAATGAGTTTTCCAGAATAAGAAGCGTATGTTCTCTATAAGAAATCTGAAGAAACATATATGGTAATAAGCATAAAGGAAAATATCAAAAAATATAAATAAAGCTGCTATTTTATTGGCTTCTTTCATTACTGAAAATGGAGAAACTGTTTTTATTGGTTTAAAGACTCTCTACATCTTTCCAAAAGATTATGACAAACACTTGTCCAAATATCCTCTGGGTTATAAAAACAACAATGATATCAGAGACCCACGCCCAGGAGATTCATCATAATACAATTCTTGGCAAAAGTCTTCTATCAAAGGGTATTTAACTCTATTTCTACCGGAAGCAGATGGAGCTCCCAAACTGACTGAGAACCTGGTTGATTCTACGCTTCCACGGTGACCTGACTTCACAGACAGCCAGAGATCTGGCTGACATCCATCCTCTGGTAAGACTTGAAACTCCAACATACCCTGGACAACCCCAAATCAACCTACATCCACAGGAACACTTCCCACTAGAGCATGGGACACCCTTTCTTGGAAACACTTACAAATTCCACTTCTAGATTTATATCTGTGTAAGTCCCAACTCCCCAAAAGACCTTAAAACTCTACCTAATCAAAAATAAGAAGTCACTGCATACTTGCTCAAAAATACCCAAGAGACTCTATACGACTAGAGTTTCAAGTGAACGCGGTATTAGGGTTTAGGTTTGAAATGCCCCCACAGGTCCCATTTGTTCGGAAGTCAGCTTCTGGAAGAGATCATGTGGGCTCTGCCTTCGTAGGTGGGTTAGCCCACAGAGGGGTCCAGAGCTAGTGGTCTGGGGGTGGGGACTGGCTGCAGGAGGTGGCCGTCACTGGAGTCATGACCTGGAAGAGGCTATGCTTATCCCTGGGCACCTCCCATTTCTCAACTCTCTTTGCTTTCTGGCTCTCATGAGGTAAACAGCTTCTTCCACCGTGCCACTTCTCCCTTGGTGTCAGCCAACCACAAACTGAATCCTCCGAAACCATGAACCAAAATGAACCTCTCTATCTCTACACTGTGGGTGTCATATATTTTGTCCCAGCAACAACAGAGTAACTTTACACATGCTACCCTTATATACTACAGAAATGCAAGCCTCTTTCTCTAAAGCTCCATGGCATTTCAGTACAGCCCAAGTGCTCATACGCTTATACAATTTTGTTGTTTTTGTGGTGAGATGAAAATTTTCACTGGAAAACACTCAAGATCCAGGTAAAAATAATCACTTACCAGGTTCCAGAGAAGAAAACTGGCCAACATCTGCCATTTGGCCATTATGTCCAGATACAGGTTGACTCATATTCCTGAAATTTTGATCTTCCTTTAGGACCACAAACTGCAGAACAGCGAGAAGAGATATTGTTATAATTCACAATCATCTCAATCATCTCTAATGCATTAATTATAATCCATGGCTATGTTCATTCCATGGAAGATGAAAGCTAGAAAAAAGCCCAGTCAAATTTGTCTCTCTGGGTAATGAAAGATTCCATTTTAAATTAGAAATCTTCAGTTACTTTTTACTAAAGCAATTAGGAGAGGGGTGCGGCCTCAGGATTGTACTAAGGGACTTCCCGATGAGCCACACTTCTGATCCTCTTTTCATTCTGAGAGCAGGTTTCACTAAGATGATAAGTTGCCCCAGCGAGGCTCAAACCTGCCATCCTCCTGCCTCCCAGAGTGCTGGGAATACAGGCATGTACCACCATGCGTGGCCTCTACCAGTATTTTCACTGAAGAATCTAATTCTAGACTCCTAGCCCTTGGGATCCCTGGGTGCTACCATTTTACTATAAGTAGTACAAGAATCCATTGAGTATTCTGTGCCCTGCCCATTGGCCTGACAAATATATATGCTGCAACTTTAAACACATACAGGTACTCACATAACTACACATACTTTGTTTAAACAGACTGCCAATTGACGAGTGGTTTGGGTTGCAAGTAAATGCTAATAACTGATATTCTCTCATGGCTTGACAGCATCAGAACAGAAAATTCTCAGAAGGCCCGGAGAACATCTCTCTTTAGCCAACAACATGACTGCTTTGCCCATTTGCACTGCCCAAGCATTACAGCGCCCGAGCACTGCTGCACTAATGGTGCAGGCAGGAGAGGCGCTGCCCGTTTCAGATTAGGGATTAAAACCGGCCAGCCATAAAAGGCAAGAGGAGAGGTGACCCATGCTCCAGGACAGGCCCTCCTGGTCAATCAGTGAGCCGGGCAGGACTGCCCCGAGGTGGACTGACAAGCTCCTCTGGCTCCACTGCAGTTCAGTACCGACACAGGGAAAAGCCATTAGGGAGACAATGCCCCCCCCACACACACACAGGGAAGGCCACGGTGGCAGTAAACAGATGAGCTCTCACCACATTTGCCTTTTCTTCTCTCCCGCAGTGCTCATCGCCCTTTGTCTCTCCTTGTTAAGGGCCACTCTGCAGCAGCACAGTGCAAACCCGGCATAGGACCTGCTAGTTCAGGCCGCAGGCCCATTGCTCCTGGCCTAAATAAAACTCCAACCAACTCTCTGCAGTGCTAGTTTTCTGGCCATGTGCCTCTCTGTTGGGAGAATGCGGGCTGCAGAATTCAGGGCTGGCATGTGGAAGGAGGCTTGAAAAATCAGATTTTTTCTGCTGCACCCCCCCCCCACTGGTCCGGTCACTGGCATCTGCGGCAGCAGCTGGTGAGAACAACAGTTACCAGGGCTGGGGAGCAGAAGCCCTGCACCCAGCTTCCCAGCACAGCTTCCGGCCAACAGGCTGCTCTTGCAGCAGCAAATGCTTCTGACTTTTTAAAAAACACACACAGGCTGTGTTTCCTTCTTCCCCACCATTTAAATGAGATGGATTAAACCTGGAACCCAAAACCCAAAAGAAATTCCATGCGGGCTATCAAGTGCAATGTGGCTGATTTAGAAATCCAGCCACAAAGCCTCCAAGACTGGGCACATTCGGTAGCTCAGTCCTCCTAGGAACACACATTTAGAGAGCTTATAGAGACCAAAGGCATCTTAGAGGCATCTAACCTGAGCTCCTAGTACTCAAGAGGACACTGAGGTCAGGTAGAACTATCAGTTCCACAGCTGGAACTTGCACTTCTTATTCTATTCCCACACTGTACATGCTCAGCTCAAACCATAAGTAAACACGGAACACCTTCGGCAGTCAGGGACAGGGGAGCTCCTGAAGCCACGGGAGAGCAGCTGTCAGGAAGGAAGGGTGAGGTGGGATCGGGTGGAGGAGACGATGTGTGAAGGTCCCCAGCACCACCACAGCCCCTAGGTCTTCTCTCTAACCACTCCGCCCTGAGACCGCAGATCTCCATGCTACTCATCTCCAGAGCTCCCAAAGCATCCAACAGCAGGCACAAAGCCTGCCAAGCTCCCTCAAGCTCCCTCCACAGCCCAGAGAGCCCATCCTGTCCCCATCTGCCCTCCAGGGCTTAGGACTAGTCACTGAAGTGGGTGACCTATGAAGCATTTTGAATTCTGTCCTACCACACCCACTGGAATATACTTAGGGCTGGCAGGCCAAACACAGAATACCCAGTTGGCAAACTCAAATCTGACTCTGGACTAAAACCTGGTCTTTCACTATAAGTATGAATTTTCACTATAAGTATTTTTGTTAAATATGGCAACCATTTTGTTACTAAAGTTTATGGACTTAAAATGGGTGTGGGAAAAGAAAAAGTAAGAAAACCAGGAACATCATCTAGAGTTTTTAAAATAGGCATCCAGAGGCCAGGGATATAGCTCAGTGGCACGAGTGCCTGCCTAGCAAGTGCAAGGTCCTGAGTTCAATCCCAGCACCATTAATTAATTAATTAATTAGCCATCCAAAAAGGGTAATTTAAAACCAGAGGAAAAGTTCATACAATGCATATAAAAAATCTTAAATTATAGGAAGAAAGTACAATGTAGAAAATCATTCCCTACAGTTCTTGTGCCATCAAATTATGGTGCTATGTCAGCTCATCAGACTCCCCCTAAGGTAAGACACAGCTCCCCTCAATCCACCTGGGACCTCCCCGGCTGGTGTGGTGCAGGGTCAGGACCCCAACTGGGAGCTAAAGGACTCCAGGCACTCTGAACTGTGTGAAGAATGGCAAAATCAGGACCTGTGATTCACTTCAGTTCTCAGCTCCCTCTACGTCGGTCACATTACCCAAGGTTGGGGGCAGGAAGACAACGACCCCTCGCTGTCAGCAGGCCTCCCACCACTTGCATCTCTGTGTGACTCTTCATAAGGATTCTCTGGGGTTTTCAGTGCCAGCTTCTTCTTCCTGAAATAAAGTCAAGATCTGAGACAACCTCAAAATAAAACAAAACAATGCACTCACCCATTCACTGATAGGAACAATAATTTTAGAATAAATCCATCAATACCATAGTACGCATGCAATCAAGAAGCAAAGAAGTGTGACCAAAATATTCAGTGAATGTTTAACTAAAAAGGACACATTGCTACAGATCCCCCTAACAAGACGCCTTTCCCTTAAGATACACTTACCCCGCTGTTGTTGCCACTTTCTGGAGCAGTTCTGGATGAGCATTTTCAGGAATGTCTTTGGGAAGTGTGATACAGATTACAGTGAACGCTGTTCTGAGGACCACCCAGTGGGAAAGAGAACTGTAGAAGCATCACACTGTGTCTTCACCTGTCTTAATCAGCGGATCTGGCACTGTATGACTTTTGACTCTTCCCAAGGTCAAAGTGACCATGAAGCGTCCACATTTTAGGTCAATTAAGGACACTGAGATGACCGCCACCACATAATAAAGATGCTCAGGAAAGAAGACTCCCAGAGCTGCTGCAGAATGTGACAAGAACGATGGGATAAATGTGCTTGAGCCAGGTTTGCAGAGGAGTGTTTTCAGGTCTAATACCTTATTTTGTAATAAATTTTAAAAATTTAAACATTCACCATATTTTCAATCACATCATGAATTGAAAATGTATGATCAGATTCCAGAGCCCATGTGCATAACCACTACAACCAGGGTGTGGCAGGACCTCGCTGACAGCAGCTTGGCTGATGTGTGGAATTTTCCAGAACATGAGGCTGCTGGTGTGGGAGTGGCTGTGTAGCACAGGTAAATGTGACTGGAGTTTTATCTGCCGATGGCAGTGGGTGCACTGCACATTCCCAGAGAACTCGGACTGTGAGTACGAGTGGGTCTTAGGTTCTTAGCCATAAAACAATGAAACTGAACTAAGTAATTCGGGAAAGTCATCTTCAGCCTCAAAATTTTATGACTCACTGATTCTGCACAGCATGAACTGTAATAGGTAAAATGATTTTTGGCACTGATACAGCGTTGACTGCCCAAGTATTCAAGGAAACGGAAGGTGAGTGGCACGGTGCTTTCACCTCCGCCCCCACACAGCATTAGTTGTTAAAATGAAATGGACGTTTCTTAGCCCTATGACTTTTTAATTACTAACTTTAAATTATTGAAAACACAAGCTCCAAGGAGCAGAGGCACCCTTCCCATTTAGGGAAGGAAAAAACTTTCTTTAACAGAAGGCCGTGTGTAGAGGGAAGTGAACTCTGCAGAAGGCACCAGGAAGGCTCACACTGGGCAGCTGGGGAAGGAGCGTGTGACTAAATGAAGTGGCCGTGCAACCAAGGCTGGATAATGGCCATGCACAGGCCCTGCAAGGGCCGGAGCCAAGACTGGAGCACAGCAGGGAAAGGGACGCACTGGTGCCTGGGAGTGGGGCATCCTGGGTGTTTAGGACAGCTGGCACTCCACGGTTGCATCTAGCCAGTATGCAGACACGGTTCATCCCGAGGAGTCAGACACCACCCCGGCTGGGAGGGCGTACACAAAGCACAAACACTGATGAAAAGCACTCACCTGTAGCGGTGCGCCCCCCACATCCCCAGGAGGAGCAGGAGGACCAGTGCCACCACGCCGGTGGCCGCCACTGCCACATCCTGCTGCTGCCTGTGGCCGGCATGGCGCAGCTCCCACTTCAGATCCTGGTGCTCACATCGCTCCCCGACATAGCCAATGACACAGCTGTGGGGACACAAATGCAAGTCATGGGGGGCCCTAGCTGCAGACGTGGGGTGCCCCGGGGCTGGCGGAGTCATTTGTGCGCCGCCTCCCCAAGGCACCTTGGCACGCTGACCAGAGGCCCATTCCTCAGGGCTGAAGTCCTAGGAGCCACCCCTTAAAACCAACTCAGAGCTCTGCCCAGAGACCAGGGGAGCCCTGAAAACGGAGGCTGGGCCAGAATGCAGTAAGCACAGGTGGAAGCAAAGAGGAAGATGAAGGCAGAGACCCCCACTCGACACTGTCCTGTGGCTGAGAAGGAGGTACAGCCAGCGTTATGGGAGGAATATCTGCCCCCGGACCCCCCCTCTAAATCACTACTGGCCCCAGAGAAAATGTCAATGGTGATATACAAGCAGCTGCCTGTTCTCTTCAAGGGTCATAAACCGTATGGAAGAAAAAAGTGACCCTCACTCACAAACACGTTACTGTCCAATTAATGGAACTGTTATTAGAATTATCAGTGACCAATTAAACTGTAAAATACATAAAACAATGCTGCCATCTACTGGGAACGCTCATTTCTAGACACAATTGGGATTTCTGCTAAGCAACTGCATTCCATTATTCTTCACAGGAGCCTCAACGTGAAACATATCCTATTATGAGTTTCCTTCCTGTGGTCCCAGACCCGCCATCACCCATCTGCATCCCCACTTTCCTGTGAAAGGACCAGAAGAATGGGTACGCAGGGCGCTCTCGGGTGGGGAGAAGCGGTGCGGACAGACTGCAGGCCGAGCTCCAGAGGTCTGCATCTCAGGCTGCATCCAAGTCCTTGACACTGAGCTGGGCAGCCACTCCCAGAGAAGGGAGGAAGAGGAGCTAGCACTTGAGTCCCTTATGTGCCTCACAGCATATCACGCTAGCTAGACAATTGGACTGATTTTATTTCCAGTACAGCGGGTTGAACCAAGGGCCTTCACATTGAGCTACATATCTAGCCCTTATTATTAATTTTTATTTTTTTAATTTTTTTTGATTTTTGGTTTTGATTTTTTAAATTTTTTTTATTTAAAAAGGAAACAAAAAAATACATGGAGATAAAAAAAAGGGTAGAAATAATACAAAATTACAGAAAAATAAATGATAAGAAATCGCTGGTTGATAAGTTACATATTGTCATCCTAGAAATAGCTGTTCAGGTTACAAAATTAAAGTATTTAAAATGACATTCAAAAAGTGACACTGCAAACAGTTCTGCTCAATGATCAAACAAAAACTCAGTAATGTGGTTATCAGTCCTACACACTTGTTTTACATCTCAAAGAGGGTAAGATTAAACATATCAAAACAAAACAAAACAGTTAAAAAAACAATTTAAAGAAATACAGATTTCAAAGCAAGTCCACTGGAGATCTTCACTGTCTATCTAACTGTCTCTACTTTCTTACAAATAGTTGTCCCCAACTTCACCCACATGATATACATATTGCATATTATAGAACTAATCAAATCATTACAGGATGATGAAGGCTTTTTAGGTCTTCAAGATCTAACATTGGGGAAGACAATAATAACTACCATCGCATCTCTCATTCTCTTCGTGGTAGCCGTCCCCATCTTTACATATGCTGAAATTGAACTTCAGAGACTAGACTAGTATCATTCTGATCAGTGAATAATAGTATTGCTAGAATTTATATCATAATGCTACAGAATTAGCATTGGGTTTCTTAGTGTCTCTTCTTCAGAGTATCTGTTCATTACATCTTGCATTATATAATCTGTTCCCGTAAATAATTTTTTAAAAAAAACTTATGTGTGAATTTCTACATGTATATCTATCCTCTCTGTATTATAGGGAAAAACAAGTCATAACAAGACAGCAAAACAAATTCCTAGAAAAACAATGGATAAGACATATAAGACCACAATATAGGTGATCTTCCGTAGTTACTATGTTTTCTTGTTATTTTCAATAGATTTGTCCACATCATCAGCTTAATATAGTTAAACATAGTATTACCTATTTTTATAAAAACACAACTTTGAAAGCATTGTAGGATTTGAGAGCTGTTAATAATTAATACCAGTATGGATATCCTTTACATCTTGTCATCTTCAGACTAGCTGCCTCTACTTTTAGGGTTGATACTAACAAGCATACCAAATTCAAATAAAATCAGCCAAGGCAAGCCCATGGTCTTATGAATCGGATTCAATTAAGATCAGTCATAGTAAGACAATGTAACTAATACAGGATTTCAGTTTACATTAATAGGAAAGTAAGGATAGTTACCATGGTATAACCTGCTATTTTTGGGTCAGATGTCTGTGCCCTCAAATCTGACATGAGTGGACAGACCAGAACAAATTAAATTCAAACTAAATATGGCGATAAGACTACTGTGTCTTTTAAATCCTGATACACTATTAACAATGATCTCTGCCATTTTTATAGTGTTTCAGAGCTGTCTATACTAAAGACTATTGTTTACCATCTCTGCCTCATGTCTGCTACTCCACTTTTCTGCTATAATTTGTCCACCTTATTCCCTCATTCCACTGTCTGCCCCGTTCATTGAGGCCTCTCTGCCACTGTTGCTGGAATCCTGGTATCCCTTAATCTCTTTCTCTGGAATGTCCTTCAGCACTCTCTGTAGGGTTGGATTGGTGGCCACAAACTCCCACAGTTCCTCCTTGTCTTGGAAACATCTTATTTCTCCATTAATTTTGAGAGAGAGTTTTGACGGGTATATGAGTCTTGGTTGCATATTATTTTCTTTCAGGACTTGGAATACTTCTCCCCATTCCCTTCTTGACTTAAGAGTTAGTGTTGATAAGCCTGTTGTTATTTTGATAATTTTCCCATTGTAGGTAATCTGCTTCTTTTCTCTGACTGCTTTTAATATTCTGTTCTTTTGGTGGATTTCTGGAATCTTGATTATTATATGTCTAGGCGTAGATCTGTTTTGGTTGTAGGTAGCTGGTGTTCTGTATGCCTCTTTTATCTGGATATCATTTCTTTTTGCTATACATGGGAAATTTTGCTTTAATATATCTGTGAATATTCTTTGTATTTCATTTTTGGTTGCTCCTGCTTCCTCACTCACATTCTTTATTCTTAAGTTATATATCCTTTTGTCATCTTCTAGCCTTTGAATTGTTTCTTTCTGGTTCCTTATTATTTTTAAGAGGTTTATTCTTTCACGATCATATTTCATAAATCTCTCTTCAAGTTTTAGAAGGCTGGCTTTAGTTTCTGTCAGGGTATTTTGCCAGTGTTCAATGGAGTTTTTAGTTTCCTGGTAATCTCTTTGGATCTGTTTCATGTATTCTAAGTTATGTTTAAATTCTTCTTCAGAAGTTTCTCTTTCTTTTCTGATTTCCTCAGTTCTCCCATCTGTGTTCTCTTGGGCGGGGCTTGTCATTTCTTTAATTAATCTCTTTATACCTTGCCTCACTTGGATCAGGAGTACAGCTTTAAATTCATCTATGAGGTCATGGAGGTATTTTTTAATTTCAGCTGATGCTGTGTCCAGTATTGGATGGTTACTGTACTTGTTCTCTTCAGTGTTTACTTCTCCTGGGCTTATTTTCTCATGTTGGGCAGCTGGAGATTTTTTTAGATTTTTATCTCTTGTCATGTTTCTGGTTTCTTTCAGACTGGAGTGTCCTGGGGGTCTCTGGCCCTCTCTGTATTGCTTAGGGCCTTTCAGAAGCGTGCTGACTTGAGTTTTTGCTGTTCTCCCCAGTTTGCTGTTATCTGGGGTAGGCAGGGATGCAGGGACGATGCAAGTTAGCCTCCAGCCTCTGTGTAGTCAATCCGCAAATTAGGCTGTACTTTCTGGATGTAACAGAGTTGTGACTATTTTATATCTGCTTATTGGGCCCCAAGAAGAGGCTTGGTTCAGCCCCAGCAGATCCTGCCAGTTCTCTCTGTGCCAGAAGCAGCTGACTAATGTCACCGTGGCACAGGGTTCTGCCCAAATCCCAGCTGTTCTCTTCCAGACTTCTCTGTGCCAGGAGCACCAGGACAGCGGGTCTGCCCAATTCCAAGATGTCTTCCACTAGTTCTCTGTATGATGCTGAAGCCAACATGGTGCCAAGCTTTGCCCGATTTCAAGATGTCCTCCACCAGACCTCTCTACGCCAAGGGCAACTCAGTGATGTCACCGAGCCGCAGGTTCTGCCCAACTCTAAGATGTCTTCTGCCAGACTCTCTGTGTTATTAATGTTGCTGTGGTGGGGGCTCTGCCCAATTCCAAGATATTCTCTGGCCAACCACAGCAGCCACAGGACCCAGTCCCCAGTATTCACCAGGGCTCAGTGCAGGTCTTCCTCTTGAGTCTTCTGCACACCACGCCTCTTGCCCTCACTGCGCTCCCCGCACAGCGTGGAATGGTCAGAAAACTGCACAGCGTTCAGCTTCGGAGCTCCAGAGCCTTTCACAATCTCCTCTGGTGCAGCGGGGCAGTCCTGGCTGCTTCTCGTCACTGATTCTTTCAGAGTGCCAACAACAGTGAATGGTCCGTTCGCCTCAAAGTCCTCGAACAGAAGTGCGCCATCGTCACTCCTATTTTTTTAAATCTTGAGACAGGCTCTCACTAAGTCACTAAGTTGTCCAGGCTGGGCTCAAACTTATGATCCTTGTGCCTCAGCCTCACAGGATACTGGAATTACAGGCATGCAACACCATGCCTGGCTTTCTCACTTTATTTTTGATGGCATGTCCCCATTTGCAGCAGAATAAACTGAGGCTCAGAGAATACAAGGCCACTTAGCTGAGGAATGGCAAGTTTGAGTCAAATGATTCTCCCATGTAAAAGCCTGTGTTCTTTCTACTATGCTATGGTTCTTCCAAAAAGAGCTTTACATTCTATTCACTGCAGAAAGCATTCTGTACTTCACAAAGCAAGAGACAGCAGGACTTGCATAAAGAAGCCTAAGGACCATGTTTTTCTATGATTTCTGGGCACTGCTCAATTCTAGCTGTCTTCGATACAGCCAGGTACCAACAAAGCCCAGCAACCACTTGGAGACTATTGTGTGTTAACAGCCCCCCTGAGCCTCACAGAGAGGTGGGATCTTGAGGAATATGTCAATCATGTGGCCAAGAGACTGCTCCTTCTAAGGCCCAGGTAGTCACACTAGATGAGGCGGGAGGGCACAAACTCTGGTCGCTTTACTAATGGCTTCTGCTAAACCAAGCAAAAAGATTCTCCAGCTAAGTAAGTTCGAGATTTTATGGTCAAATAATTTTAACACATTCAAGACTAAGTAAATGAGATTCTGTGATGTGTAAGCACTCCTCAGACTGATTCGCCACGCAACACTGACTTCCCGGAGCACTGCAGTCCTGGGGACACGGATCTGAGGAAGACTGGCTGGAGTCCAGTGGGGTGAACCAGGACTCCTCCGGCGCCAGAGGTCTGCAGCCTCCTGGGTCCCACAGGCACAGTGCGGGTCTCACTGCCCCTTTATCTGGGGGACAGGCTGTGGTTCCCCATTCTTAAGGGCAGTTCCCCCACCTCCAAGGGCAGAAGGAGGAGCAGGCCCTGGGAGACCTGCAAACAGACCTGGGGAAGCATCTGCAAGAAGCTGGGCTGGCACGCGCTCTTGAGGGGGTCTTCACAGAATTAATAAAGCATACGGCAAGGTCAGCAGAGCAGGTGGAGGGAAGGATTGGTTAAATATGCAACTCAGACTGAGTGAGGGTCCTGATGACTGGACATTGGCCGGACTTTAAACTCTGCTTTAGAGAAAAGGCCCTTCAAATGAGTGTTACCTGCAGCTCGTCATTTTGCAGCAACTCATGCTGAAGACATCATCAAGGAAACAGCATATTTTTGGCAGGAATTGGAGGCAGAAAAAGAAAAGCAGTGTGCTAAAGAGCTCGTCAATCTTTAATGAGCTGACACTACCAGATCCAAATAAAAATGCTGTGCTACATTACAATGAACCCGCCTTGCACGCACATTGTTACAGTGTGTGAAGCTGAATATCCTAGAGGAAAATAAACCATGACCCAATAGGTGGCTAGGACATTTAGTTTTGTAATTTTGCTATTTGGGAGGATAAGAATCGATGAACCAATAAAAACATTTGGTTCTTAATGTTAAAAAATACTAAATATAAGGATAACTATTCTAAGTTATAGACTTAGATTCAAAAATTACAGTCTGTAAAGACAAAAATGAAAGCCAAATTCTATTTGAATTGAGTCACTTTTGCTAAACTCATGATCATTCTTCCTGATTTCTGTCAGGCTGGAGTGGTTTACAGTCCAAGGCCCCTGTCACCCTTGGCCATGGAGTACAAGGTCCTCTTCACTACCAACAAAAATCACGGAGACCATTACTTACACAGTATCTGGTATTAGCACCAGGACCCAAGTATTTCACTGCCCCTTCCTCAGGCACAGAGAAAATCATTAATGGGTCAGGAGCTGAATCAAGAGAGACTGTCTTACTCAGGTTGTTCAAGTCGCCCTGAATATAGAGAATTAACTAAAAGTAAAATTGGGTGCAGAATGAGCTGTGGTGAGCTCTGGCTTCCCTAAGGGTTCTGTGGGAAAGGTGTTCTGAGTAGGCAGGGCAGGGAGATGAGAGACAGACAGCTCTTCCACACAGCTCCTCCTCATGTGGACACTTCGCTGCAAAGTCGTCCTGGACAGCAGCTGCACCCCAGCCACTGTCCCCAGCAAGGCACACAGAGAATCTGACTCTAGAAGAGGAGAAAACACCACTGGGTTCCTGTTACTTTTTGCTTTTTAGTTTTAAAAATCAAAGGCAATTAGTCCAATGTCAGTATGTACCTGGCTTTTGTAACTTTAGAAACATCTTGTGGCTGCTCCACATATTTGGCAGAAAATAAATCAAAGTTTTAGGAAATTCTCCATAAAACATTTTTCAGCCAGAATGAGAAATTTAACCTCCAGACTGTTCTAGTGGTAACATCAAGTTATTTAAGTAAAAATATCAACAATTCCTTAGATTTATGTTTCCCACTGGCGCCTTGGGAAAGGTGGTGAGATGCAAAGTGCACACGCGCGCACACACACACACACACACACACACACATTTATGCATGGGTATTTCCCTAAGGAAAATCTAGTTACACGGGGAAAAGCCTCCTTTACATAAATGTTGCACATTAGGAGGCTGAAGCAGGAGAACGGAGAGTGCAAGGACTACACACCCTGGACTACACAGCAAGGCTGAGGCTTGTCTAGGCTCTCTAGCATCACTATGTCTCTAAAATACAAATATTTTTTTTACAAATTAGCTGAAAGTCATTGCTATGGTGTGTATCTAGATGTCCCCCCAAAGCCTCACACACTTGCAGGAGGGACTTTCAGAGCTGACTGGCTCTGGGGTGTGTGACAGTGGGATTAAGGGTTTGCAGTACTACATTACTCCACTGAGGCGTTTAGCACGGTGCTGGGTGTGGATAAAGCAGATCCTGCCCTAAGTGTGATGCACTGCCTGGAAGCCAGGCCACCTAATGGGATAGAAGGCTAAGGAGGCTTCCTGCTGGCTGCCTTCTGCTGACCACGCTGTGGACTGTTTCTTCTCTGCCAGGCCACCCTGCCTGGTGACTACGGACTGAAGTCTCTAGAAACTATGAGCTGAAATACATCTTTCCTCCTTTAACTTGCAGGTGTCAGGTATTCTGGGTCAGTAAGAAGAGGAGTAACTAAGACAGTCAGGGGTGGCAGCGTCGTGTCTGCCGCTGGAAAGCCATGCTGACTCACTTGCAGGCGTAGGTGTTCAGTGATTCGATGTGCATGCACACTCCGCCATGCAGGCAGTAGCCGTCGTGTGAGGGAGGACATCCCGGTTGAGCATTTCTGACCAGACCGCTGCCATCTTCCCCAAGGGAAATGGATGAGGTAGAGTCTGGAACAACCAAAGACAACAGTGATTTGGGATGTCAATATTAGGACTAGTTTCTGTGAACAATATGTGATCCAGTGCCTTCTTGTGACAGTAACACTCTGAGGAGTAGCAACAGCCTTTCTTTCTTTAGGCTCAGAGGATCTGATATTAGACTTATTGAGGCACACAAAAGAATGGCCAACCCTGAACCAGCAGATGAATTCGGTCTCTGCTTGCACACAAAAGCAAAGTAGTCATACATTCACCATGGGAAATGCCAGCGAGCTGTGAGGCAGAAGCATCGAAACACTGATGGCTCTGTGTGGCTTACAACGTCCCCTGCAAAACACGGTCCATCCTCTCACTAACCTGGGAGTCTGGAAATTCTTCCCACACAATGCCTTCTTCTAAAAACGGTTTCCGACACAAGACTGTCGGGACTCTGACAGAGGAAATGCTCTGGTAACAGAAGCATGCCCAAATGGGAATGGCTCCTGTCACTGAATGGTTCACTGTTCCAGAAAAGGAAAACACCAGATGAACAAAGGTGATTGCATAAATGGCAGTTTTTCAATATCTTGAAGAACAAATTATTTGAGGAAACCCCTCTCCCACAACATTCTACAACATCAGCGAGCAGGCCAGTGACAGCCTTCCTTCCTGAGGACGGACCCAACTTGCAAAGCTGAGGTGAGCACTAGCAGGGCTGGGCTGGACCACCCTGGTCTGCAGGGTCCAGGGAAAGCAGCCCCCTTCCGGGAGGCTGAGGACAGAAGGTGCTGCTCTTCGGGGGAAAAGTCAGGGAGCAGAATGGCCCATCAGCACAGCTTAAAAGAAAGCTGGAGGCCCGAGGCAGCTGCTGAACGCTGACTTTGCCATTCTCCCCGCTTCGCTTTCACATCCGCCAGAGACTTGTTCTGCCTGTCGGCCCATCCTTGCCCACCAGACTGAACCATGCCCATGGGTCTCCATTGCCTCCAGCTCTGCTGCCTGCTGTGGAAGCCACCGGGACAGCTGGACACACGCCACGTGCCCACCCCATGCTGTGTGCTGCAAGGGGCAATCGAACAGCAGACTTCCGAAGACTCACAGTAGGCAAGGGTGCAAAACAGCTCAACTGCAGGCTGCTTACACAGTAAATGTTAAAGCCAGAAAACACGCAATATATTACTAGGAAAAGCCCAGACATACAACTGGCCTAACCCAGCAGAAACCCTGGGTTTTTCCAGCAACCCCAGAAATCAATCTTACAAATGAAGCAATTAGTCACAGTGTTTGAGAGAGCCACCTGCCTGCCCACCTATACTGAAATGTGAGCAATGAAAAGGGATTCATTCCAGATGCTGTTAAATTAAGAAGCCTGGGGCCGGTTCAGACTCTTAAGCCCAGCACCAGTCAGAGGAAAGTGAGCTCTACAGCCCAACTGACCTGAACGACCCTAAGACATGCACTGCAACTACAGGGGTGTGCAGCATTCCCAGGAAGCCTTGCCCCATCCAGACCACCCTGCAGCCTACCCAGGCAGCGCAGCTTGGGCTCCCATGGGCTGCCAGCGCATAAGCAGGTGTAGCCGCCCTCCGTGTTTATGCAGTTGGCACCTGGCCCGCAGCTGTGCACCTCCAGCTGGCACTCATCCACATCTGCCAGGTGAGGAGGGTAACAGGGACAGCGGGGCACGGAGGAGGAGGAAGATGAGGAGAAAGAGGAGGAGGAGGAAGAGGTTATGCCACTGGAAAATCTGCATCTCTTCAGCACCTGTCAGGCCACACATTCTCTGTGTGATTTCTGAGGCTCTGTCATGAACGCTGACTCCTTGGCCAGGTGCCCATTTGGGGGTTCTAGGTACCCAGCAGAAGACCAGAGGGAAAGGACGGAGACTTTCCCAAACCAGAGATTGTAAACTACCTCCAGGCAAACATCTACACGTTCAGATCCTAAAATGTATACTTATTTATGCAAACAGACATCTAGCCATCGACATAAATTTCATACCACACACATTTTTGCTTTTTCTACATGGATGTGAACTATAGAGAAAGAAGCCATCCTTTCTTTCCCAACTCTCCTCTGGCTCATTCACACCACTGCTACTCTAATATGTAGGTCCTTCCCTCCCCGCTCTCCACCCTTTTCTTCCTAGCAAAAGAACAGCATCACCTCGCTCCTGCACCCCGTCCCCTCCAAGCTGCAGATAATACCAGTCCCCAGCCCCAGACACAGCCACCCCAATGAAACCCTGACAGCACCATGTGGCTAGGAAGATACCCGCTCTCTGTCTGAGTGGACAGACTGGCACCAGAAATGTGCCTGCTCCCTGCTGAGGTAAGTTCAGATACCAGATTTTGCAAACTGTATCAAAATATAAAACAGCCAAAACTTTATACTAATCTTATATTAAAATGCTAGTATTTTAGGTAGACTAGAATACATAAATTATTGAATTTAATTGCATTTACTCCTTTTCACTTTTTGCAGTGTGGCTATTAGACTATCAGGACAGCCGTGGCCCAGGCAGTGAAACCCAGATGACGGATGAGCGGGCCTCAGAGTGACGCCACCGCCCCGTAGCCCAGGCCCTGCTGTTAGGGCCTGGGTGGAGCCCCTCTGCCCCGGCACAGCCTGCATGGGGAAGCAAACCTTCTGGTGTGAGTGCATCTGTGAACACAGGGCCCGGGTGGGGGTAAAAGTAAGAAAGGGCAGAAGGGCTGCTGCCTTTACCAGAGGAAGAGCAGCAGAGCACAGCAGAGAGGGCCACAGAGGAAAGGGCATGGGACAACACAGGGACAAGGTGGTGTCTGTAAGTGGAAGGAGACTCTGGCCAGAACCAAACCAGCTGCACTTCCTGTGGACCTCGCAGCTGCTGGGACCAAGGAAGCCAACATCTGCGTGACAGCCACCCAGCCCACGGCACCCTGTGCCGGGTAAGACGGGACTTCTCCGAGCTCGACGGGCGCGCTCCCAGCCCTTCACGTCCCTGCCTAGTTCCCATTTGCTCACTTCTTGTGCTCACGCAGACATGGAGCCTTCCCCTCCCTGTTCTAGACTGTACCCTCATCAAGGCTGTCTCCTTGCTTTAATCGAGGACTGGCCTCCACATCCTGGCATTTCCACAGCTGCTGGTTCTGTGCCGTTCACCCCAAGAACCAACAACACATGTGTCACTCTGAGCTACTACCCTAAATGGCTCCAACTGATCCCTTTAGACTGACTTCCTGCTATAATCTCAGTGAATCATCACCATGAAAGGGAGAGAAAGAGAGGCAGAGGAGAAAGAGTCAGAGACAGAGACTGAGAGAGACAGAGAGACGGGAACAAGCTTACAGATTCCCTGCATGGTCAACCCTGTAAAAAGGCAGGTTAGGAACAGTCAGAAGCCAGAGTCAAACGAGTCTGAACATTTGAGATAGGACAGCTTCCTTTCAAAGGAAATTAAACAGGAGGTTTGTTTGTCTAAATCGTCCATGAGCCTGCTTCATTACAGCAGTGACACTTTCCTAACAGCCAAACATGTACTTTACAAAGCATCTCAGGTGTGCATGGACTCCCGGGACCTGACCTTGACAAAGGTCTGTGGAGAGCCTTGAGCCACACTTCATCTGGAACCTTCACAGGGGAGGAGGCCCCGTCGGGTGAGCTGTTAGCAGCACACACACACACACACACACACACACACACACACACACACCACACTGGGAGAGAACTGTGTTGTAGAAGGATGAAATGAAAACACTGATTTATTTCATTTATGAGTATGGTCTCCAATTGCATCCATTTACTTATAAAAGTCTCAAATTTATCCATCTTTATAGCTTAGCAGTATTCCATTATATTTTTTAAAAATCTTTTTTTATCCATTCCTCAGCTGATGGGCACCTGGGTTGTTTCCAAGACTTAGCTATTACAAATTGTGCTGCCGTACACATGGATGCACATATATTGCTGTAGTGTGATGTTTTCAGTCCTTCTGGGAAAATACCCAGAAGGGGAATAACTGGTTCTATTGGGACCACCAATCCTATTTTTTTTAGGAGTTTCCACTCTGATTTTCACAGTGGTTGCCCCAGTCCACACTCCCACCAACAGTGGAGAAAGGTTCCTTTTTCTCTGTGGCCCCACAACATTTGTCATGGGTTGTTTCCTTATTGATAGCCTTTCTTTCTGAATTGGGAAGAAACTGTTCAAAAGAAAGAAGAAACTGTTGGGGGGAAAGGTCAAAGGATGAAGGAAAAAGGAACAAATACATGTATACATTCATAGGATAGTTACACAGCTAGCTTCTCTTAGTTCCTTGGAAAGAAAGTCTTGCCTTAATACTGTTTGGACAAGACAGCATGTCTATCTCCTGTACTCTGAACAACTACACAGTCAGTACACAATGTATTAACTATTGTAAGGGTCCTACTGATTTGTACAGAGCTTGCTTTCATTGTTACGTTTGTTCTTGTTTTTCTTTAAAAGAAAAAAGAAAAAGAAAGCACTGAGAAAGGCAAGGCAACAAGCCGCGAGAGCTGAGATGGGCCCACGCCAGGCAGGGTAGCTTCGGGGTGCAGGCCCTCGCTCGTGTGACGCCCTGCCACTGACCATGAAGGCAGGGCCCCGTGGGCCTCACCCACGTGTGCAAGGGTGGCGATTGCGACAGCGCTGCTGACTGCACCCCTGGGGCCGAGCCCTTTCCAGAGCTGCTGCACCCGAGGTCGAAGCCCAGGCCACTGAGCGGGCTATCTAGTGCCTACCACAGCACGTGGCACCTAGTGCGGTGACAGCCCAGATGGGACGCGACCCTCTGCCCACCGCCCGATTCTGATTCTCCCTCGCTCACCCAGGCAGCGAAGCCCGTCTCCGCGGTACCCAGCCGCGCAACTGCACACGTAGCCACCCTCTGTGTTGATGCACTTGGAGGAGGGGGAAGGGCAGACCGCTCTGTCCGCTGCGCACTCATCTATATCTGTGGGCCAAACGAGGAGCTGGTGACTCATTTAGGCAGCGCTGCCATACAGGGGAACGGCAGGAAAGGATACTCTACAAATACACGGCAGACCCTGTTTCCTGGCGGTGGGGTTCACATCTGGCTGTACTGTTAGAGGTCCTGCTGTCTGGATAACTAAGTCTTAAACAACCATCTGGTGTTCTGAGAGCGTTCTTTTTGGCGGGAACGGCTAAGCAAACCACTCTGTCCAGTTTCTCACCACAGGGACTCTTCTTGAGAGGCGTGTTGGAGCACACCTGTAATTCCAGCACCGTGAGACGCTGAAACAGGGAATCACTTGTTTGTAATTCTGAGGCTGTCAAAACAGAAACCTACCCACCATGATGCACTACCGTGAATAAGCTTAGGCACTAATCGGCGGGAGAGAATGCTGTTTCCACTGGAACTAGTGAACACACCAATTTTACTTCAGTGGAAGTCACTGCCCTAATTATAAACTATTCCTTTTAGCACCAACTATACTTACTGCATAACTGTAATAGAAACTCTGCATGTTAGTGTGTGCAATATGCTTATGTGCCTAACATTTTCTATGCATGTCATCTAGTATCATTATCATCATTACTTAGCTAACATCTAGTGATTAAATTTGCTGATGATATAAATCTTTCTGGCAATTCTACATTGTTAAGAGCAAAAAGGCTCTTTCTGGTTTACAGTTATTCAGACCTACATATTTAGTTTTCTCTCTTACCAGTACACTGCTTTCCATCACCAGCAAATCCTTCCGCACATTGGCACATGGCCCGGTCTCCCTCTGAAACACACTGTGCATGCTCGCCACAGGCTGCTGGGGTACACTCATCCTCATCTGAAAAGCAAGAAGCCACACGGTAATTTGGTTGTCCCAGCTTCTGCTGGGCGGGCTGTACTTCCTGTCCCAGATCCACAGCAAAGGATCTCACCAGCTGTGATTCTTTACAGACTCTCAACCAATGTCAAACTCAGCTATCCAGTGTTCAGAGACCCCTGCATGCACTAGTTTATAATTTTTTTTTAAATTTTAGGTTTAAACTACAAAACTGCTCAAAATAAATAAACTCATTTCAAAAATTTTATTGTGTATTTAACAATTTCCAACTAGTAAGTTAGTAGACAGCAGATAGTAAATGATAGTTAGTAGAAGCAGACAGTAAATGAGAAAGATTCATCATAGTCCATTCACTAATATGCTTCATTATATAGTGACTGTGTATGTCACAATGTGTGTTTGTATTGAGATTTATGCAGTGACCTGCAAACCTCCAGGCACTTTTACAAAGTCATGAACTGTACCAGTTAAATGCTGTTAATAGGTCATGGCATTTCATACTCCACTGAAACCAACACCCCAGGGGACAGAGTCACATGGAGAGTCACAAACATGAGCATGCTTTCTGTTTTGCCTTTTCACTTCAGCTATTTTGGATAGAATCATTTTGCAAATGCCACCTATCACCTGCTTTTTGGATTTGCAGGACTTGACATACACAGTATAAACTAAAATATATAAGCTAACGATGTATTTGTTGTTGAGTTTATCTGAATATGAATATAGAAGAAATAAAAAGGCCTTGCAAGCATGCCATAAATCACAGAAGGTTTGATGATCTAAGCAGGATTTGGGCGCCTTGCAATCACAGTCCCTGGGACCTGCATTTGATTCCTGCAGCTGCTGAGCAGGACGCCTGCCTCTCCTGCTGAGTTGGCCATCTCCTCTCACGAGCGCCTCAGCACGGTCAGTTCAGACTAACGAACTGCCCGCTGGATTCAGCACTCATTCTAGAAGACTAGACCCCAAATCACAAGGCTGCTCAGAATATAGCATGGATAGGATCCACTTACCCAAGACATTTTAGATCCCTCACAGAGTTACCCTAAATTAGCATATGACTCAGGACTTGTTGGGTAACTGAAACCTTGAGTCAGCATGGCAGGATGAAAGCAAAGGCTTTGCATTTGTAGATGGGTGAGCTGGAGCCAAGCTCTTTCAGCCAGGGCCAGCTCTGGGAGGATCACATAATGCATGCTTTTCCTCTCTCACTACGGAGCCGTTTCGGCTAGGTCCATTTCCAGTGATTTGTAAGAGTTGGTAGAAAAACTGATTTACAAGTATTACACATATTTAGATAAAGATATTGAACAACTAGTGTCTCTGGGGCTGGGGATGGTATGCAGGGGTAAAGCACTTCCACAGCCTATGTGAGGCTCTAGGCTTGAGCCCTCGTACTATGACAGGAAAGAAAGAAAGAGGAAGGAAGGACGGAAGAAAAAAGAAGATCTGGCCTCTCACACAAGAAGAGGCTCCAAGTCTGTTACTGAAAATAAAATTCATTCAAAAGTACCTAAGATGTCCCAGACCTTAGAGAACCAAACACTGAGTGAGGAAGACCAGAGGCACAGGGTGAGGTTCTGGTCCAGGGCCTGCGCAGGGCACCCCTGCTGGGCCAGGGTCTACCAAGTCTTTTGGTGCAGAAGCATCCTAAGTGGGCTGTGCAAGCAGGACAGGAGGGGCTCCAGGGGGAGCTGGGGGTCAGAGACAGTCTGTGTGTGCTGCAGACGAGGCCAGCACACTGGCAGTGCTTGTGGAAAGCCAAGGACAGCAGGCTTGCTGGGCCCTGAGCAGGGGGCTTCGCAGGCCAGGGAAAACAGGTCAGAGTCCAGGCATGGGGGGACAAGGCACTCACTGTGGAGAGATGAGGGGCTCCACTTGGGCAGGGCTGTCTCCAGGCCACCTGCATTTGGCGATCTCTGTCACCTCGTCCTTGTGCTACACGACCATACGCTTGATCTGTTCTAGCCTCACCTCAGTCCTCGAGTCCTTCAACCGGAGTCTTCCAAAACATTCTCTATAAACCTCAGGGATCACTGATGGCTTTGAAAGATTCTCTATGCTGCTAATATTAACCAAGACCACTTTCCTTTGTCACATTGCTCCTTCTTGTCCCCACATCAAGCTGTATTTAGCCCCTCTTTGGTATCCCCACCACTCAGTACAATGTATGCCCAATAAATTGCTATGTGAGGAATATTCCTAAAGTCACAAAGTTTCCCAGTACTTCTAATTTTAGTATCAATGAATTATTTGGTCATAATTTTCAAAAATCTTTGGTCAAGTCACTAATTAACATATCTCAGTCTTAATTTTTGCATCTGTAAATGATGAGCTGCAACATGGATCAAAATAGAGAATTAACTTAAATACGTGGCAACACACTTAAGCTCCACATCAAAGCCAGGTATCATTATGATTAAAATATACACCTTCCATCTTATCAGAAACCACCATGACGAGAGGGGTGTGAGGTCCCCGAACCTTGCACAGTTACAAAGTCATCAGCAAGCACGGATATCAGGGAAGCCCTTCCTTAAACACTCTACTGTGAGGCAATGTTTTATGGCTACAGACATCTTATTGAAATATAATGTTAACCCATAAAATAAACAAATGTAATGCAAAAAGTCAAGTTAAGCTGCAATGATGGAAGGGCAGAGACTTAGGGAGAAGAAAGGGTGGGAACAGAAGAAGCTCTTGCACAAGTAGCTCTAGTTGGACAACTATTGGCTTCACCAGTGATTCCAGGACACAAAGTGAATACGGAACATCATAGACAGAGGCTTGCCAAAGTTGTTATGTACCAAACAAATTATTTAACAACATAGAAGAGAATTCTAAGATTTTCTATAAATTCATTTTCTGCAGCAGTTGAAGAAAGGAGCTGATTTTGCTCGTCAATGCTATTGTTTTCACACCAGCAAAAACACAGCTAAATGGAACTTGTACCAACAGGTATAGGTGGAGACACACTTAAATCTGTTCTGCCCTAATTCTCCCCTTTGTTTTCAAGTTACATTCCTCCGAGGTCACCCAGCCCAGACTCTCAAATGTGCAGTGCACGTCCAGCCTAATGTGGAGGTGGACAAACCATGCAGAAGAGAAAGACTGGAGTCCGAGGTCTGGTTTCACTGCTTGAGTGATTTAGCCAATATTAAGAGAGAATCCAGAATTTCTCATGGGTAGAATGGAAATCAGTGATGCTGAAGGACTGGAGAACCCGTTATTCCCACCTGACACCACAATTTCAGCCACCAGCATGCGCTGAGAGCCTGTAGCACTGTCTTCTGGTGCCGTCATCCCGGGTAAGATGTCCAGTGCCGTCACCTGGTTACTCTGATCAGCTTCACCACCTGTCGAGGGCCAACAGATGCAGCTAAGTTAGCTTTTCCATTTCCAGGAAAGTTTCATTTTATATTTACAGTTGTTCTTCTTCGGTTAGGAGTTCAGACTCACACTTAAAGTAGGAGGATCCAGGAAGATGGGCAGGGCTTTGCTGACTGAGAAAACCTCCCCTACTAGCCCACACCCTCTCAGTTTCAGCCCGTTGCCCTTGATGGTCTGATGAGCAGGAAGACAGAGGAGAAAAAGGGGCCTCTTTTAGGTACTAGCAAAAACCAAGATTAAATAGCAAAAGTCTTGTGACCATAATAAGATCATAATCACAGACCATCGTGGCTAAGATTTTTCCACTTGAATTCAACATATACTTCTTCTTTTAGGTTGCTTTCCATGCCTATTTTAGCCTGATTTTACCTGCAGTTTAAATGTGAAAGGGCATAAAGAAGCCCTAGGTTAACAGAGGCCAGGAATGATACACAGACCCACTCAGCTGTGCACCCAAACCCCAGGGTCTGAGGGCACAGAGCACAGGAGGTCTTCATCCTCACACCAGCTCTCCTGCCTCCTCTCACAGTGACAGGGCAAAACCCTGATGGGACCACTGCTGGGCCATGGCGTGGACCATGGTGGCGATAACGAACTCTGGCAGAAGGAGCTGCCCTTGGCACCAGGACTCACGTTTACCACCAACAGAAATGGAGAAGACCAGTTCACAAGAAGCTCTTCATGAGGTAATACGAATTATTATTCTTTTCCTTGTCAAATGTTCTGGGTTTTTGTACAGGGTCTCACTATACAATTTGGGTTGGCCTTGAGCTCACTTTGTACCCCAGGCTGGTCTCAAAATTGCAGTGATCCTCCTGTCTCAGCCTCCCAAGTGCTGGGATTACAGGTATGCACCACCCCGCCCAGCAAAATGTTCTGTTTTTATTTCATTTTTGGGTACCAGGAATCTACTCCAGACCTTGTGCTTGCAAGGCAAGTGCTAAGCCACTGAGCTCTATCCCCAGCTCCATTTTTATTTTTTATTAGCATATTCCTTGCTTTTCTCTCACCATCTGCAAAAGCGCTGTCTCCCTGCTTCCTATTATTTATCTTTCATTTTGCTCTTTATTTATGCTTTGGGATTCTCAGGTAAGAGAAACCATGCCACATTTAAGCTAGTGTGTCTGATTTTTTAAAAAAATTCTTGGCCATGGACTGGAGAACTGTTTAATCTTCTGCCTAATCAAATGAGAAGTACACCTAAAAGGCTGCCAGTGCCTGCTTAAGAGAAGAGAGTGGGGGGGGGGGGCATGGAAGTGAGTTCTGAGTGTCAGCTGAAATGAGACACTTTTCTTTACTGGATGCGAAGGTGAACTGTGCTAGACACGGGCATCTGGCAAAGATGGCATTTGGGCATCTCCAAAATGAAGGCATGTGCCCATCTCTTCAAGGAAAACCATGGGCAGAGGTTGTCAACAAAGTGAAGCCACAGGAAACTGCTGCCTGTCCTGTTCTAGTACGGTGTCCAAAAAGAAAAGGAAGGACCCCCAAGAAGGCGTTTTGAGTGGCCATTTGCAGTCCTTTCCCAAGCCTGCGCCCAAGGCTGGCTGTGTTTCAGTCTTCAATCAAGGCAGTGTGTAACAGACTGAACTCAGAAGTGGCTGTGAGTGGCCAGCTGTCCTCTATTAAGCCAGACCTTAAAGTGGTGCCACACTGCATATAATCTACTTCTAGTTCTGGAAAATACCCGTAGGTCATTGTTATAAAAGTGTGTTATGTGAATAGTAGATGTGTTATTGTAAGTTTAAGAAGGATATCTTTGATTTTCATTTTAATTTTTAATACCACAAATATTAGCAGATATAATCCACATAAACAAAAACTCTTTGGGGAATTACGAACATCTAAAATATCCAGCCCTGAGCCATGGGTCGATCAATCCATTTATTTCTTGCTACTCTGTCATCTAACTTAGATTTATACTGTGGCTTACTACAAATTTCTAAAATCCTTTCGACAAAATTAAATTGTCTTTTCTGTGCACTGGGTAGAAAGATATCAAAGATGACTTCAATTCTGCCTGGACAGTTCCGAAGGACACTACCAGCCACCTGCCACACCTATTTTCCCTGGCCTCCCTGTGTCTCCCTCAGTCATATGTACAAAAAGTGGGTCACAAGCCTCCTCAGGCTGGCTTTTCCAATTTGTCTAATATCCTGAAGTTATTTTTTTATAACTTTGCTTTTCCTATTAAGATCTGTCATATGAGAGGGAAAGAGTATATCCCCACTCCTAAAAATTAAGACATAAAACGTTTAAACAAACCTTTCTAAACATTTTTGTGAGGGGATGAATGCTAGTATTAGCTGGGTGTGGTGGCACACACCTGTAATCCCAGCACTCAGGAGGCTGAGACTAGACGATTGTTGCAAATTCGAGACCAGCCTGGGCTACAAAGTAAACTCAAGGCCAGCCTGAACTGCATAGTGAGACCTTGTCTCAAAAAGTTCAAAAAGAAGAAGAAAAGAAAAGAAATGCTAGTATTAATTTCCAAGCTTGAGCCAACTGCACTATATGGAGAAGTTACGGACTTTAACCACCAGGAAGTCCCTTTAATTCAGACTGTAAAAAGGAACCCAAAACTCATCCAAAAAATGAAAAAACCCCACACTCCTAGCATTCCTAGAAACAGAGGAGCTTTTAGTAAAACAGACTATGAAACGCCAGGCAAAGCAGAGGACTGATGGGCAGCAGAAACTGAGGGGCCACTCAGCAACACACTTGCAGTTTTACCATTGGACAGCTGTTGACTCGTGGGAGCCAGGCAGCCCTTCCCATCCGCGCTGCTCCTGAAACCTTCATGACAGGAACACTGAGCGGTTCCCAGCCTCTCTTGACAAACATGCTCACAGCCTCCATTCTGATGCAAGCAGGGGTCTGTGCCTGGAGGGGAAAGGAGGTGACTTCAGGTGAGCTGGGAGATGCCAAAGACGCCACGGGTGCCAGGCACCATCCACAGCTTGAGGAGAGCCACTCACAGGCCCTGAAGAAAGGACTTGCCCAGCTCCTGCTCTTTCAGGGGACTTCCTACAGGGCCACTGAGGCTCAGGGAAGCACACATGTGACCACCGCCTGAGGACAGACTCGGGATGGCCAGCACGTTGGCCCACAAAGCTCTTCAAGGATTGGCTGCGATGGCTATTTCCTGCCCCTCAGTCAGGCTGCTGGCAAGGGCAGTCCGAAGAGGAGAGCTGTGGCAGGACACTGCTTGGGCTGGGCTCGGGGGTGGAAGTTGCCACTGAGGGCCTCTAAGTCACCTGCCCTCTGGGCCTGGCACTGGGGACCTCAAAGTGTGAGTAAAAACTGTACAGGAAGGGAAAAGATGAGGTCAGCAGTATGCAGCCCACAGTACCCAAGCTACCAAATCAGAGCTGAAGCCGAGGTTGCCAGATGACCACACCGCGCCACCTCAAGCACAGTCCCAGTCTTAGGAGATCTCAGCATCTATGCAGATTAGTGAAAACCGCACCATGCCCTCACCCGCTGCCCGCTACTGATTAGGAGCCACGGAGTCCAGCCCGGGGGCGCAGGATAGCGCCAGTACCTGGTTTTGCCAGTGGGTGAACCACAACCAGTGAGGCGGGTCTCAGCACGCTGCCTCGCAGACGTACCCTGTTTTGGCCAGTCCTCTTGTTCACCCGAATTACCGACGGTGCGGCCCAGTCCGACAGCCACAGGTGGTCCTCAAACACGGCCACGGAGAACGGGCGGCCTGGAAGCAATTCACAGCACTCAGCTCTGTGAGAGGATAAGGCTGGAAACCCGCAGGTGCCTACTACAGCAAGGTCCTCGCTGAAGAGCTCAGTGGAGAGCTGCTGACCTGTACCTGCATCCAGCAGAACCTGGGGCTGGGGAGCGCTCACCCTCCGGGGTGCCTGGGCTCATGTGAGGCCCTGGCAAAGCCCTGTATCATCATTACCTGCCATCGGGCAGGGTGAGATGTGAGCTGCGGATTTCAGTACTGAGAACCGGACCCAGGGCCACTGCCTGATCTTTCCTTGAGATGGGGTCTTGCTAAGATGCCCAAGCTGGGTTTGAACTTACAGTCCTCCAGCTCAGCCAAATTCTCAAGTCCACCAGCACATCTCTGCATTAAACCCTCTCCTCTTACCTAAGAGCAGTCAGGAGACTGCCCTCTGCAGGCCCCCTGTTAGCAACGCCACCAGCTTCCTTCCTGCAGTCCTTTAGCATCCTCTCTCCTCATCCTCTCCCCTTTCCTTTGCAGTACTGCAGAGTAAACCCAGGGTGCTTGCACGGAGCTACACCTTCAGCTCTTTTAATTTTGTTGAGAGAGGGTGTTGCTAACTCACTCCATTGCCTAGGCTGCGTCTGAACATGCGGTCCTCCTACCTCAACCTCTGAGTGCTGGGATTACAGATGTGCAGCTAATTTCCATGTCCCCTGGATCTCACTTCATGGGTTTTCTTCCCTTCCTCACTTTTCCTGCAGCCTGGGCACTGCACTCTGGAAGCTCTGAACTGAACTGAACGCTGCTCTGCTTTGTATCTTGTTTTGAGACAGGATCTTGTTAAACAGCCCAGGCTGACCTTGAGCTTGGGAACCTCTTGCCTCGGCCTCTCTAGGAGCTGGGAAGACAGGAGTGCACCACAGCGCCAGGCTTATTCCTTCCTTTCTTAACCTGTTTTGAAGTCATTTGTTATCTACCGGCTCCATTTTGTGGCTGCTTCAATCACCTCTCTGTGCCCCGAAACTGCCCTGACACGGTTTCCAAGCCCCTAACCCGCAGGGACACGTCACACAGCTCCTCCTAACCCAGCAGGCCTGCACTGTAACCCTGCCTGCTCTCACTCCAGGGCGGTCTTTCTGCACCAAGCAATGGACTTGGTGGACTAGAGTCACCTCTCCCTCTGCTGGCAGCAAGCATCAATGACTGTTCTTCAGTCAGGAGCCGCTCACCGCTGACCAGGGCCATTAAGATTCCTTCAGCCTCTAACCTGTTGCCCCAATTAATGTCCTAAATACGGCAAAGATATTTGCTGTGTGTTGCTATTGTTATGCTAGGCTGGGTCCCCAAAGCCTCACATTTTCACAGGCGACTGCATTACGGGGTTCTATACTCATCTATGGTCTGAGGCAGGCTGTTAGGAGGTGGCCCTGGCTGGAAAACCCTGGGCACTGAGGGTGTAACCAGGAGGCCTGTCTCCAGCTCCACCCTTCTCTGCCTCCTGGCCCCTCACTGTGAGGAGGCTTCTCAAACCTTTCTACCACGCCTTCCAGTGGTGTAGCTTGCAGACCATGGACTGAGACCACAATCTTAAATTCATCCCTCTCCTGTAAGCTGTGGGTGTTGGATATTTTGACCCAACAAGGAGAAAGTGACCAAGACAGCTACTGGTCTTTTTACTGCAATAGAAATCCACAACACAAAATTTACCATCTGAACTTTTTTTTTTTTTGGTAGCAGGAATCGAACTCAGGGTCTTATGCTTGCCAGGAAGCAACATCCTGGCATCTGAACCATTTTTAAACATATAGTTCAGTAGCATGAGTATATTCAAACATTCTTTTTTTTTTTTTTTTTTTTTGGTACTGGGGATCCAACCCATGACATTGCATTTGCCGGGCAGGTGCTTACAATGTTGAGCTAAATCCCCGGCCTATTCAAACATTCTTGTGCAACCAATCTCTGGATCCTTTTTACCTTGAAAAACTGAAACTTTGTACCTATCAAACAACTCCCCATTTCCCTTTATCCCCACCCACTGGTAAGTACCTTTCTGCTTTCTATTTGTGTAAAGTGAACTACTCTAGACACCTCACAACATGGAGTTTTACAGTGAGTTTTTGTGACTGGTTTATTTTACTTCGCATAATATCCTCCTGGTTTACTGTGTTGGAACACATTAGGATGTGCTGTAGTGTTTTAAAAAATATTTTGTACTAAGTATACTCTTTCTCATTTTTTGTTTATCACAGGGCCACTAATAATTGCATCTTTTTACATTAAGAATGAATTCACCCAACCTTTACATGAAAAATCCTGAATTTGCAGTTGAGAAGACTGTGTCTATGTGTGTGTGTGTGCACGTGTATGTGTATGTGAATATATATATATATATATATATATCAACAGATAACACTGTAATGATGGGATCAATTATTTTACATATAAAATTACTTGATAGATGTCTTCAACAGGAAGTTGCATTAGTCACAGATTGCAGTAGCAATTTAAATGGTTCACAAAATATGATGCTTTTACATTCTGCTTAGGCTTTTCAAATATGTTTCTACCCGTTTTTATCAAAGCCATAGTTTTCCATTTGCTTGGTGGTATTTTTTAAAATAATGTCCGTCTTGTCTCCCTCCCTCCCAGCTGTTGAATTTGTTTGTCAACACTGGGGCTCCATTTCTTCAGTGACCTAAGTGCATGAATGAAGATTTCAGCTACACACAAACTTATCACTGCTATGAAGTACAATTTTTAAAAAGTCTTAGAAATACAGGAAATTGAAATTATATTTATCTTGCCCTATTTTAAGTATCATAAAAATCTAGACATTTATTGCCTCTAACACTATAGAGGATGGGTAGAAAAAGAGTTTTACACCTATTACTAGTTTTTAGCTTCTTCCTAAATAAGAGAGACTATGGATTTTTCATCTTCCCAATCAGTTTCTAAATCTCAAAAACATCTTTGACTCTCGAGCGTGGCTCTCATTTTCTATAGCCCCCTCCCTTCCGTTACAGAGCCTCTCCATTTTCACCCACGGTGATTCACCCACACCCTAATCTTCCAGCCCAGCCCTGGAGGCGTCCCAGCCTCCACCCACTGTGGCCTGCTCAGCTGCAGCAGCCTCTTGCTTTCCTTCTGTCTGAATGCCAGTCTGACCCTTGTGTATGTCACACGCTCAAGAGCAGGTGCCAGTTCCTGGATAGATGCAGAATCAGCCCAGTCCTCACACCCTGGCAGCTCTACCACACAGGCAACTGTGTGCCCTTCACCACCACCTGTCTGCCACATGGCTCTTTTCGAACTGCCTGCAGTTCCCTAAATCAAAACAAACCTTCCACCACTGGGGCAACTTCAAATCCACTTATATTCCCGCTCTGATAGTTATGAAGATAAATGACCCCCCAGGCAAAATTTGAAAATACAGTAGGGAAGAAAACTGTTGTATCGTTTTGTTTCTGTGCTACTGGGAACTGAATCCAGGGCCTACACAGTGAGTTACAGCCCCAGCCCTTTCCAGCCTATTTTAATTTAAAAAAAATTTTTGGAAGGCAGGATCTCACCAAGCTGCTAGATTGCCCAAGCTGAGCTGGAACTTTTGATCTTCCTGACTTGGACCCCTAGAAGGTTCGAATTTTATAGGTGTGCACCATCACGCCCAGCTGAAAATCACATTTATCAGTCTTTACATGCTATCATTGATGTGCACTGATGCCTAAAAGTGATATTATCAATACTGTAAAATATTTTCTAAAACATAAGAAATGATAACAGCTGAACCAACCTTTTATCCCTAATAAATACAGACAAATTTAACACTTTCTGATTTACTTTTACCTAGTGTTTCTTTGTTTTGGTACTGGGAGTCAAACTTACAACCTCACACTTACTAGGCAGGCACCATGGCGCTGAGCTGTAGCCCCATCCCCTTTTGCTTGGTGTTTTAATGATAAGGTAGCCCTGGTAGCTCATGAGTCCCTGGACAAGCCTGTTGCTCTCTATTCCTTTTTCTAGCAATATGGCTAAGTGTGTGTGTGTGTGTGTGTCCCTGTGTGTGAGCACATCTTGTATGGGACAATTCTCTATACTCAAAATGAAATCCCTCACCCCAAGGCCTTACCTACATCACCCTGGCCCAGTCTCTGGCGTCTGGAACCATCCAGATTGGCCATCTCAATCACAGACCGCATGGCGTCACACCAATACAAGGTGTCTGTCAAGTAGTCAATAGTGAGTCCACTGGGCTCGGTCAGATCTGAGCCAGCTATGAGGAGCCGGCCAGAGCCTTGAAGGGAAGCGCTTTCAATTCGAGGATTCATCCCCACGTCGGTCCAGAACAGTCTCCTTTAATCAACAAATCAAATAATGAATAGAATTTTTCTAAAAAAATTGCTCTATTGTTTCATCATTGAAAAATCAATACCAATTACTCCAGCCTATGCTGGAGAAAATACCACACTGCATGTTAGACAAATAATCTTCAAAAGCAAAAGTTAACTTTCCTATGTAAAGCATGTTGGATAAGCAATGTTGAATGAAAGCTCAGATCACTGGATTATAAAAGAAGTTTGCTTTTTAAAATGGATATTACTCATCCAAAGTGGGCCTAAGTGAGCAGCCTTAAATTAGCTGCTGAATCTGGTGACTCCGCTAGGCGTTCTCCTGCGATGCACAGGTAAAACACAGCAGAAGCACAAGAGTACACGTGCCCATCACCTACTTTACACAACACACTGCCGTTTCTCAGCTAACTTTAGGTGGCATAAACCAGGTGTCGCGAATATTTTTTGAAGTCATTGTGACTGAATATTTACTGGTCTGATGAAGGATGTTTACATTCTCACAGTTTTTACCATTTAATTGGTTTGAAATCAATGGTTAATTACCACCAATATGTTATCTCACATAGACTACTGGGAAATTTCTAGCATAAAGAAAGCAGTGTTGGTTTTTGGTTTTTGTTTATTAACAACTAACAACTAGGAATCCTTTATTCTCCTTAATTCTCTACCCCAAAGCAAAATGTGACGTGAATTCACACAGGACCTCTGCAGAAAGGGGGCTTATTTTCTCATCACTTACTTGGCCATTGGATGAACAGCAATTCCTCGTGGGCGAGAGATATTTTCCTTAATGATTATTTGTCGATGTTTTCCATTTAAATCACTCCCTTCAATGACAGACTTCCTAAAATGAATTTAAATAAGAGGCTTACCAATATTACTTTTCAAACAAAAGTACTGCTTTTCCTTGTTCCTGCTGTGTAAAGGTAAGGATTCTAAACCACTTCTCACCCCCAACACACATACCCAGAGTTAATCCACATATTCTATTATTTTAAAACTCTCTATTAGCATCTGAATATTTATGTTTGACAATTAAAACACACGGTTACAAGACAAGGTAGTAGGAGGCTGTGGCAGTGGCAGTGGCCTGGCAGGGCCTTCCCCCCATAAAACGGACCTTTCACCTGTAAATGGGCTCTTCTTATAGATCCACAAATTCCACAAATCTCCTGCCAAGACCACATAAAAGCTGCCAGTCCCAGACCATCACACCCCTCTCTCAAGGGCCCACAGTCACTGAGTGTGAATTTCTTTAATTCTGATGAACTTTTTACGCCTCCCATAGCCTCACCCTGCCTGCCCTCCCTTTCTGTGACGTAAGTCAGTGAACCTACAACATGTTCCCTGGGCGAGGCGAGGTGAGGTGAGGTCCCCATCTCCTTGGGGACCTTCTTGGGCCCCACCTTGTGACAGTAAGAAGGGATCTGGTGGTGCAAGATGTCTTTGAACTCAACATGGCCAATTTAGTCCCCAGGCAAAACTGTCACTGTGATCCGCTCCTCTCTTGCTGGGAGGGAAGAAAGGGGGCACATAAGACCATCAGTCCCAGTCTCGCCCTTCCAGCCTCTGGAAACTCTGCTCAGAGCGGCCAGCAGGGATAAAAGCTGAGTTCCCTAAGTGTCTGCCTTATGAACTTCAATTTGGCTCAAAGAGCAAAGCGCAGGCAGCGGGGTAGGGAATGAGAAAGCAAAGACTTGGGACACTTGGGTGTCCCCCCCATCCCGCCCCATAATCTAGAGGAGCATCCTTTGCTTTATGGAAGGGACCTGCCAGAGGAAACCCCGCCCTGCTTCCAGGTAAGAAAGATCATGCAAGAGCAATTTTTATCTCATAGCAGTTTTTAATACCTCCAAGCAATGAGAAAACAGAGGTCTTATAATTACCTCTTGGTTCTTTTTTACAGGGCAGTTGATTTTAGGAATCAGGATTCTTCATACTAAATAACAGCACTGCCAGAGGACTTATTAACTAACTTCACTGCTGGGTGTGGAATCTGCCTTTTCCTCTGCTAATAGACTGTAACCACACCCTTGGTTCTTAATTACCTAAAATTTACACATTATCTAGTATCACAAGATTGGAATCTTGGTTAGTTAAATCAAACTTATAGCTAATATCAAGGCTTTCAAACTGTCAATTTCTCATTTCTAGACAAATTAAAGGTTTTCTTCCAGCGACTGCCTCTAGGACGAGAGGACGTCTAAAGGTCCATTTCTACCAACCTCCACAGGCTAGGGAATTTGAATCCGATTCCCCAGGATACTGGGTGCTTGTCTAAGTCCTCAATGCACAGCCTCTGCAGGCACCACGGTCCTCTCAGTCAAACAAACTTAAAACAAGAGGAGCTTTGTGAACAGGGAGGAAACAGGAGAAGACACAGCACCTTACAGGGCCCAGGAACTGTGGACATCTCTATTGTCCCGGTCAACGTTTACAGCTCTGAGAATAACCACATGCGTGCTTCATTCTACAGAGCTGACATTTAAACCACCCTTCAAGTAAGCTCAGCACAGAAGGAACCATTAATATGGTTTTTATAATTATTACAACTGGAGTTGCTTTTCATTTGTTACACATCTCAGGGTCAAGTGCATTTTAAATCAGCCCTGATTGCAGCTCCGTGGTTATGGTGTGGTGCTGGGCTTGAACCCAGGCACGCTAACCATGCCTGCATTCACAGACCTACAGCACGTCCAGCCCAGCACTGTGACACTAAGATCTCAGGGGCTGGAAACAGTCACCCTCGAGCTCCAGTTCCAGAGCCACTACATATGGACTGCTTGACCTTGAGGAAGTTATTTTACCTCTTTGATTTTCAATTTTTTAAATATGTATATTAGAGAAAATAAAATCTTCTTCTTGGAGATTCAGTGGTATGGACATAAAGCTCTTAGTATAGTATCTGGCACATTATAGTCATTCAGTAAATACCCAACCAAAAAAGGAAGGTACGGCTAAATGAAAAACAGAACGAGTGGTAACAGAATGTGCTAGACACAGAAGGCCATGTTACTGTTAAGTACACCCCACACCATTACATCTGGTTCCCATCAGTGATCCAGATCAGGAGAAATTTTCTGGAACACAGAAATACTGCACTCAATCAGGTAATCCAAGTCCTTGAGAGCTTTCTCTGCATTCACAGGGCAAACCCAGTACTAACTCTGTCTTCTCCTACTTTAACACGGAGCTTCCTGATGTCCGAGTGGTTTCTGGCCTCCAGGGGCTCCGAGACAGTATGCTGAGCACACAGCCTGTCTCAGAGTACTAGGCCAGGGGTTCCAGCTTGTGATTTTGCTTCGGGTGCAAGGAAGGGAGCCCTTCAGCACCATGGGCCACGGCCACTTCATCATGGCCCCTGCTGGCCTCCCTATCCTCTTCCCAGGCTCATGGGGTCCCCACACCTGCCCAGCAGCCTTCTCACAGCACTGCAGGCCGGGTTCCAGAGGACAAGAATGCTGGACTTGACTCTGGTTCTGTTGCTTCCCACAAAGGGGAAGTGGGCCCCATCCTGGCCTGGCCCCCATCAGTATCCCTCCCCATGCCAGCGTCCTCTCATCTTCCCACTTGCAGGAGGATCCGGCCTGTGGATTCACATTCAAAATGTGTCCCTTGCATGCTGTGTAACTGGGATAACCCCTCTTAGCCTGTCTCTGCTTCATCCTCGTTGCCTTTAAATGAAGAGGGAGGCCAGCTGACCCCCAAAACACCTCCCAGCCACCTGTCTGGGAGTGTCCTCCCCCACATGGCGGTTTTCTAAGCACCTGTGACACTCCTTGCATTGCTGTTTAGACTGAGCATGTGTACTAACTCTGCTGGGAAGATGGCCTCATCTCCTCAGCTGCACCACGAGCTGACTCCAAAGCCGGGACCCACCTGGGCTCCACTGGGAGTCAGCTTCCCCTCAGCAGCTGCTCGGTCAGCCTCTCGGACTGAACAGAGATAGGCTTGGACTTCTCTGGTAACAGTAGCCTGACCTGCACAAGCTGCTGCCAATTTCTTGGACACTGAAATTGTCCCACAAATTCAGATCCAATCTTGACAAAAATAACATCTCACTGGTGTCGTGGAGGAGTAGGGAAAGTGCGGGCAGCAACAGGACCTGTCTCATCGGATCCAGTCCTGGCCAGCATGCAGCATAATTGTTCTGTGTTCAAACTGAGGATGAAGCCAGTGACCTATTACCTATTCATCACTCCCATCCCCTGTGGCATCAAACCGGGAGGAGAAAACATACCCACTGTCTGTCCAGTAGAGTCTACGGCCAATCCAGTCCACGGCAAGGCCTTCTGGTATGTCCACATCTTCCTCAATAAGCCTCTCTCGCTGGGACCCATCCATATTTGCTCGCTCTATCCACTTCAGGGCTGTGTGGGCGAAATACATCTACAAAGAAGGCAGACCTTGCTGACTGCTTCACAAAAATGAATGGACTACATACAAAGGGGATTAGTAAGGCTTCAGGTCCTCCATGTAACTGTTAGGAGCACAGCCCTAGAGACATGTCTTCAAGGAAACCTCAACTGCATTGCTTCCCAATGAGTTTAGCCTTAAATAAGTTACTCACTGCCTGAGACTCTTAGCTTTCTCATTGGTAAAAAGGAGGATAAAGTATCAGCATACATACGTATCTCCCTAATAAATCCATAGTCCCTGGCACATCCCTCTACTCATTGTTTATTGATCTCTGATCACTGGTCAGTGATACAGACTTTGTTCCTGAACCCTAGTGGTTTCCACAGTTAAAAGGGAGCAATGACTTGCAGATGAATGAGAGCTGCAAACTGGGCTGCATCTTCCGCTGCTCAGTCCATTCCCAGACCACTGCAGGGCAAGGCCAAAGGATGGGCTCCTCTCCTGGGTTTGCTCCTTATTTGCTTGACTCTTGGCCAAGTCACTTAGCCTATAAACACAAAGCTAGCAGGCTTTCAGATGTGAGAATTAGGAAAGGGTTAAAAAGTATGGAGTAAGCTGGCAATTTGATGAGTAAAATTTTAACAGCGAGCACATAAATGTACCTACAAGGGATAATAAAAAATTAGAGAAAGTGAGCCGGATATGGTGGCACATGCATGTAATCCCAGCACTTGGGAGGCTGAGGCAGGAGGATCCTTGCAAGTTTGAGACCAGCCTGGGCTACAAAGTGAGATCAAGGCCAGCCTTAACTATATAGCGAGATCCGGTCTCTAAAACACCAAAAAAACCAAAACAAAACAAAAAACCTAGAGAGGGTGATTAAAAATTTTAATTTAATAGACAAACTGTCATGGTCTTCCTCAACATTTCCCCCCTACTTCGGACATCCTTTTCCCAATGTCCTTGCCACTTTCTGAAGCAGTGCTGAAAGTTCTCTTTTGTGGCTTTGTAAGGTATGATAAAAAAAAATACAGTGACTGCTGCTGCCAAGAGCCATCCAACAGAAAGACAGCCTTGCAAAACCAGGACACTGTGTCCCTGTGCACCTTACTCACCAGATCTAGTACTGTGCAACTTCCGGCTCTTCTCAAAGCCAAAATGACCACGACAGGCAAAGGCTTTGCACTGATTCAGGACATGCAGGCAGCCAAAACAGTGCAACTGAAGGCCCTCAAGAAAGAGGAGCCCAGAGTGGCTTCAGAAAGTGGCAACAAGGAAGTGAGCTCGAAGTGAGGGGGAGAATTGTGAGGTGTATGAATGGCCATGGGTCTTTTACTACAATAAATTTTAAAAATTTAAACACATACTGTATACTTTAGTCAAACCTCATAAAATAAACCTGTAGTTGATGATGAGAGTATTCATAAAATGGTAGCTCATTAAATAATAGATTCCAAGAGCTGGGGATTTAGCTCAGCGGCACAAGCGCCTGCCTGGCAAGCACAAGGTCCTGAGTTTTTGACTTCTGGTACTAATAATAATAGGTTCCTCTTTCTAGATAAAAAGTTATATTTTATAAATACAGATATGAATACTTTCTCTTACAAAAAAGCTCCACAGGGTTGTATGAAATGCTAAGGTACACGCGAATCCCTTATGAGGAACTTGCTAAGATGCAGACACACTGCAGTGGCCCGGCTAGAGTCCAGGGGTCCGCAGTTCTAACAGGCTCTTGGCTATGTAGCTGCTGCTGGGCCAAAGAGCACAGTGTGAGTAACAAGCAAATGAGAACATTAACTAGAGAAATGAAAATCAGCCACCCGACTTAAAGTTCATCCTTGGTCTCCCTATCTGTCTAGTTGAGAAAATGCTGACTGAATAGGAAAAATAAAACCCAAAACATAGCAACAAATGCATCTTGAATTGTCGTTAATGTAATTGTTCTATGGAGTCATACAGATTCAGTTCAGAGAGAATCATCGCAAGTGTTCCAACTATAAATCTTTACTTAGTGAGAATCATTGTGTGTAGCTATGATTCCAAAGCTATTAAACACAATTAATTTGCTTCACTCTCTTTTGGCCACTTAACCAGAGTGCTTCAAATGAGGAAAAAACCAAAAAACACCAAGTTTAAAATTCTACACATTAATGAAGCATCTGGAGTAACTAAAAAATTATGGAAGGTGACATAACTATGAAACTATAATTACAGGTGATTAATGTCTAACAGAAATCCTAACATCATTCTTAGCACCTCTACCTAGCACAAATACAACTACGAAACGAAAGACCAACTGGTCAGCTGTTTGGGTCAGTAATAAAGAAATTCAAAGTTATCTTTTAAGACATCACATAAAATTATTCTGTAAACAATGTTACAATTTAGACTCTTATCCCCCGATGAATCATGAAATTTCTACTTGCTGACTTTTATGGCTAAGAGGTCATTGAGTTCCCGCTCTAAATGACATAAATTAAAAGCAAATTATCAATCCCTGCCTCATATGCCCCACACCCAGCCTCTCACTGCTTCTATCACCAGCAGATCATCAAAAATTGACTCATGCAGCTCCGTCTATGTGCACAGCACTATGCCAGCCTCCTGTTCTCACTGCCAAAGACAAAATTAAACTGAGGCTTCTCTGTGACCATTCCCAATACAGACAATGACCACAGCAAGACGGGGGGTGCGCAGAGCAGGGGTGCTAAAGTGCTTCAAACGATGCTCCAGGGCCTGTATTTACTTCCTGGCACGACGCATTCTGGGCCTAGCAGAGGATTTTCAAGTCGCCTGGGTCATTTGCTAAGATAAAATCCTCTCTTCTGTCCTTGTGGCTCCTACGCCTACTCAGGCCACAGAACCTTACCTTATTTTCCACTGGGTCATGATCCAGTGCAAAAACAGTTCCCATCTGCTGGCTGAGCAGGACTCGGTAATCAGTGCCATCGAAGTGCATGTGTCGAATATCTTGGGAATTGGCAAAGAGCAAAAGTGGCTGTGGTCCTGGAAACCCAATTTCAAAGACAGCAGTGTTTAAAACACGCTTTAGAAAGCAAGAAACACTCTGACTCTTCCCTTTCATTGCAGCCTCTTCTGTAATCTTTGCGGTACTAGTTTCCTTAATGTTTCCCCAGTATAGTGGAGGCAAAATCAGGCAAGAAGACTTCCTCCTTCATAAGGTGACGCACAGCCAGAACTTCATTATTGGATTCATCGCTCTCTAGGTGTCTGCTTTCAAAATACAAATTGCTTATACAAAGGGCCATGTTAAATAGCCAGAGCCACAGCCAAATGTTGCAGGGCTTGAGGTTGCAGCTTCCCTGGTTCATACACACTGAATTCATGTCTGAAGAAGACCAGGGCTTTCTGAGAGGTGGGCAGGATTACTTGAGTATAATGAGACCTTGGTTGCCTTCAGGACTCAGATTATGCTATGAACTCAACCTTCAAAAGTTAAGGTTCACTAGGGATATAGCTCAGCAGCACAGTGCCTGCCTGGTAAGCACAAGGTTCTGAGTTCAATTCCCAGTACCAAAAAAACAAAAGTTAAGACCACTGTGGTCTAAAGGGAAGCTTTCATGATAATGATGTGGTCCCAGGTTCTCAGCATAGTGAACTTTTAAGAGAGGTTAAATCAGTGTGATATAAATCTAACATGTCCAAGGCTATTAAAAAATAGTGAAAGCATACAACTTCATATTAAATTTTGACATGAAAAGGACAGAACTTGTCAAGGCATTACATTCACTGAAGAGATAAAAATCAAGTCAATCAACATGTATTTCTTAAATATCTCTAACTACAGTTTAACACTACTCTGGCCATCTGCTGTCTATAAGAAAACACCGTACTTGACATTTTGGTAAATCTTTTGTAGATGCTAGTTAACCTAGAAATGCTCCTCCAAAATATGGTTTTTCTTGATGTTGTAATTACTCCATGTTATTTGTAGTGACTGGGCATACTTTCTATTTCAGAAAAAAAATCAAGATTTCTACCAAGAAGCAAAATTTAACATATCATTCTAAAGGAAATGTAGTTTTCACGTGATTTGTTTCTTTTGCAGGAAAACATTCTGGGCAACCATAGCACTGACCTGAAGCGGCACAGCTTTTCCCGTCCAGCTGCAAGTCATACCCAGGGAAGCAACCACACTCCCACGACACTGGGCTGCGTGTGATGCAGTGCTGGCTACAGCCGCCATTATCGGGTGACGAACAGCCTAGAGAAAGCAGGTGCTTGGTAACGATGTTCTGTCATTCAAAACGTAAGGATTCTCTATCGAAGTATTATGGTGGACCACTTACAAGCACAATTTGAAAACTGTCGTGCCCCCCCCCGCCCATCCTTACTGCTGCAACTGAGTTGATTTTTCGAGAGATTAGAGAAAACTGTCACAGTGCCCCCTTCCCTATAGGTCAAAATCGTGGCTGTTAACCTTTTGCATTCCACTGAGCTCTAGAGAAGTACCCAGCAGCTGGCTGGAGAAACCTATTTTGGTGAGTTTGGCAGCTGTCCTCACTCTCCCTCTCACATTTAACAGCCTCTTGACTTCTTTGTTCATTTCCTTTTTTAAAATCTAAATTGGCATTATTTTAACTCTCGATTTGGGCAATACTTCATCCCATGACGTAAAATGAGCTGCTGCTTCTTTTTCACTTTTTTAAAATTAAAAAATCAAAAATCCACCCAAACTTCTTTTGCTAATTTTGGGCTATATCCTGACTTATATATGCTCAAGTTTCCATGAAGCCAAGAAGGTATTTATTGGGTGCAAGCCACAGGCCAAGCTCTCTGCACCTGCCATCCCGTTCAGTCCAGGAGGAAGGGTCAGTACTGCCACAGTTGGGGAAACAGACTAAGACAAGTCCAGCGTCCAGGCTAAATCGCTCTGCTTGTGACTGGTAACGCGACCTCAAGGCTGTCGCCTGAAAGCCCTTGCTCAAAATCACTTCACCAAGCTTTCTTAAAACAAAGCAGAATCGCAGTTTAAATCTGTGTGTTAATCTATTGACTAAATTATCTTTTAATGTGTAATATCTGGAAACTACTCTCCTTTGGCAATAAGATCAACTTTGAGGTGTCACTTAGAAAATGCACAGGTTCAAACCAGCAAAAGGCAAATAAACTTACCACTGCATGTTTTTCCATCTGCCTGGAGCACAGAGCCTTTAGGACAGAAACACAGGGGACCATCTGACGTCAGAACGCAGCCATGGCTACATCCAGATGCACCGCTTGGACAGGAAACCAATTCTGATTCATGATGGACAAAGGCAAGATTTGTGTTAAGTCAGGTTGGTAGAAATGTACTACAGCTGCTAATAAAAAGTTGAAAGAGGTTAAAGATCAAGTATTTATAGATAGCTATGGTAACAGATATATAAAAGCAAGAAAAATCCAATTTAAGAAAATTAAAGAGCACTCATTTTGAAAATTTCTCTAGTTTCTTCTGAGCTGCCTTTATTTCAAACAAAATTTTTAGTTATTCATCATCAAACTTTCAAAACATTTTCAATGGAACTTAAACAAATGATTATTAAGGTCATCTGTCAAAAGAAATACATTTGTTAAAAAAAAGAAGGACATCCTGTATTAGTGGTTAGATACAGAAAGAGAAATGAAGGGTCCTTAACAAATGTTAACATGTATGACAGATACAGTATAAATTCTCATAACTTCATGATAACGTGTGATCATTAAAATGGGAGGGGATGGATGCAGAAATAGAAGATAACAGAACAGGATAGAAAGCTCCGACTAGAAAAAACTCAAACATGCATAAAAGTGTACATGTAAGGAGTTATTTTACATAAGTGAGCATGTGAAAGATTATTCAAAAATGGTACAGAAATAAATAATAATTTCAGGAAAAATTAAATCCCTACTCTATGCCACCCATCAAAATTAATCTCAAGTAAACCAAAGATGCAAATGTAAAATACGTCATGAAAGTTCTAGGGGTTTTGATAATCAAATGAGACTGTGTGTGTCATGCTTGGCACATTTATATCCTGCACCTGCACAGCACGTTTAACAAGAGGCAGACTCACGACCTGGGCAAGTTTCACAGACAGGCACAAAAATGGTGGTGGGTTTTTTGCAAGAAATCTGTTACCATTCATTCATTTCAATGTGCCTGGCTTGTTTCATAAGATAGATAATATCTAGCTGACGTATTCTCCTCTGCCTTTTTTTTCCATCCCATCTGTGAGTTATCCACTGCCTTTAAAGTAGGACTAAATAACAAACTTGATTTTAAACATTCAATTGTACTTATCCATGCTAGTGTACTCAGTAAGATAGCTATCAGAAGGCAATCTGAATATGTAATCCTAAATTTGCACTGGGACTAGCCATACAAACTCATATGTATTTTCTTTTTAATAAGTGTATTGCTAGCGTTGATGCCCCCCAGAGGTTGGAAATAACGCCTCAGTGGCAGCTTATGTCCTCTAGATGCGATTTCGCATTAAAAGGAAGCAGTGCCCCTTGAAAAATTGCTGATTGCAAGTCTAGAAGATAACGGGAACACAATGAGCCAGCAAAGTGTAACGAATGTAATCAGGTAACGAGGAAAGTGTCAAAGACTATTACCATTTGAAACACTTGATGAAATAACAGATTCAGGAAATGACTGCTAGAAAAAAACTTCATAAAGCATGAATCAAAACACTGAGAAAGCTAAGCTTTACAAAAAAGTAGGGGAGGAGGTTCCAGTGGCAAAGGGGAGAGAATCTGCTAATCAGTAAGGATAGCAACTCAAAGTGAAAATGTTTAAAATCTATGAGATTATAAAGATACCTAATTAAAAACATTGGCAGGTCACTTCGGAAAGGTGTCAAGGAAGCACCTCTCTAAAGAAAGAATTGTAAGAATTGTGTCTTAGGTAAGTTAATAATTAATGAGAGAAAGTTTTCTTTAAAAGAGCACTGCAATTAATATTTTAAAAATAACAGAATTTGACTATTACCATTTGAAACTCTTGATGAAGTAATAGATTTAGGAAATGATTGCAAGAAAATTTTATAAATCATAAATGAACATACTGATCAAACTGAGCATGACCAAAAAAAAAAAATACAAGATATTATGCATCTCTCCATAGAAGTGCAAACATATCTATGAAGTATTCTTGTCAAAATATATCAAAGCTAAATCTGATCAATCTTGCAGATACAAGCTTTCAGAAAAGACATGGACATGACAGAAGGGTGACTAGCAAAATTCAAAAAGTGAGCAACTCTGCTGGAAAAAAAAAGTTAACAAATATTTGTCCAAAGGAAAAAGAAGAGGAAAGAAAATCTATAGAATAATACAATTAACACAGAGAGCTTATTTTGAATACATAAACAACTGTTTACAAAACTTTTTAATATGAGAAATTTGAAAACTGACCAGAAAGTTGATGTGATTAAGAATTTATTATTAACTTTTGAAGTATAATAGCATTGTATTTGTACCTGACAACAAACTGATAGTAGACAGGAGAGAATTACACTTAGTTTTTTAGATATAATAATGTATTATGGCTGTTTTTTAAAAATCTGTTTGCCTTTTAGAGATACACAATGAAACATAAGCTAATATCAGTATAGAAATGGGGACTATATATATTTATATCTTCCACAAAAATGTATCCATGCTTCAGAAAAGAAAAACTTGTGTATATATTTTAACACTAAAATTATCAAGACATCATGAGGTCAGTACAAGCAACTTGGGCCTCCACATTCACAAGAAGTGCCCAAAGTGGTCAACATTAGCTTCTTGATATTTATTATTTTTCTTTTCCTGAAGTGTGTTTAGATTTTTGGGATGGATTCTGTACATATTTCCTAAGCATGGAGGACTTTAATATGTCTGTAGTGTGGCCCCAGTATCTGTATTTTCAAAAGCAAACAAAAAATAAAATTCTAAAGTAATTCTGATGCACTCTTCTTACCCAGACCACTAACCTAGATTACAGTCATCTGAAAAAAGCGAAGAGAAATGCTACAATAAATACTTGTTGCAGCGACTTACCGTGACAGCGCTTCCCATCAGGAAGCAGAATGAATCCTGCAGGGCATGTGCAGTAATAGGATCCGGGGATGTTCTCACACCCAAGAGTGCAGCCATGGTTCCAAAAAGCGCACTCATTGACATCTGCACAAGGACAACAGCAAAGCATAGCCAGGTGGTTATTTCTGAAATTAAATCATGATCTCAGTATCCAGCCCAAAGGAGAGTACCTCGCACCGGTATTATTATAGGCAGCTGAGTTAGGTAGAAATATTATATGCAGTGAGACAGGGCTAGATCCTCAAAGGAGCCGGGGTAGAAACCCTTGCAACTGGGGGATACAGACACCTCTCACTGTGGGTCAGGCCTCACTACAAAAGATCAAACAAATGTACCCACATCCTATGGGTCGATATTCTAAATAGGTCTGTATCGCCCTGAGGAAGCCAGTAGTCAACATTCACCCCCCACCCCCGCTCTTTAAGCTTACCTGCTAGCTACCTGACTCACTTCCCCATTTGTCTCCAATTTTACCTGGCACATTAATCTTATTTGTTAACCATAGCTCTGTCCGACCTCATGCCCATCTTGTGAGTTCCCATTTTTCCCCATCTTGGACCCATCTCACCTCGTGGTTTTGCTCTATGAAAGTCTCTAGAAAAGAGTCCTTGGCAGCCCGCTCAGGATCCCTTCTGCCTCTCTCTAGGACAAAAGCTTTCTTTCTCTCAATAAACATATTCTGCTCTTAACCTCCGTTGTTCCTAAAATTCCTTCTTGGATTTTAGAGAACACGAACTCGTACGGGACATAGAGTAGGTTGGGAGTTTATTTCCCCTATATCAGCGTAAGCTGTAACTGACCGCGAGAAGGCAGTGTCCTCAATTCTCTGAAAGATGAATTCATAAACGCCGTTTGTGTTCTGCAGTGTGCACAGCATTTCATTGATCTGCACACCAGACTTATCCCCCGATGCACAGGTGGCACGGTAGGTACACACCTTGCAGAGCCAGCCGCGCGGTCTGTTAGGAAACCTCGGAGGGTCTCAGGCTTCCCCACGGCCGAGGGGGGCCCTGCCCGACAACGGGGCCACCCGCAGCCCAGGGCCCCTCGCTGCCCCGAGGGCTCACCCCGACTAGTGCAGCCCCGAGATTCCTCCCCAGCCCTAAATCCCAGCTCTTTCTCGGTAGAAGGCTGCGCTGTTTCTCCCTGTTTCGTTAAACTGCGCCTGGGACCGCACCCCGCGAGCCCTGAGAGCCAGCCTGGTTCAGTTCCCGGGCTCCTGGTTCCACAGGATGAGATGGAACCAGGCGCATTCTCGAGACCCTAAGTGGGGCGATGAAGCCGCTCTCCCTAACACTGGCCTACCCCGAAACTGTGCACAGAGTCAGACACGGGGGACCCCCGCCGTCCGCCCGGCACCCAGCCTAGACCGATCACCGCCCGAGCGGCCTCGCACAGTGTGACCTGGGCACCCGGCTCACAGAAAGGCCTGAAAGCGTTATACAGGCTTTCTTTATATATCACGAAAAAGAACTGTTCTGAGAAAGGAGAGTGGTTGGGCTGGACGACGGTTTCCTTTCGGGCAGCCGGAGGGCGCTGGGGGGCGCTGATGGCCCCGGATGGCCCGGAGCCCCGCTCTTCGCGGACGTCCCCTCACCACCCAGCGGTGCGCGTTACCTTCGCAGGACTTCCGGTCTTGGCTCGGCGCGTACCCCTCCGCGCATGCGCACGACTGGGACCCGGGGTCTCGCCCGTCCTCGCCGCGGTCGCATAGCGTTTTGTCCAGCTTGTGTCGCCCCGGCTCTAAGGCAGAAAGGGGTTTGTTTGGAGCGGAGATGTGTTTTGACAGGAAAATACACCATATTGTCAAGGTTCCTAAAGAAGTCAAGTTGGCCTGCGTTGGATCCCCAGGGTCTCCAAACCCATCCACCTAATTGTGTCACCCTGCGGGATGCCCAGGATCTCCCATGCCAGGGAGCTGGAATGGCGTTACTTACAGGTCACAGCAGCACCACTTACCGCGGCTTCACTCTGATATGTATATTATACTTTTAATAGATACAATTTTTTTAAATTCTGAAAATGAAATGTCTAGGAATTTTTTAAAAAAAAATTTCAAAGCGTGTCTTGAGTGTAAGAGGTCACGTCAGATGTGTCTGCTACAATCATTATTTAAAGAATCTCATTTAGACTTAATATTTATCACTGTCTTGTCCACAGACTTCTGAAATACGGGGATATGGATTATGAAAGACCCCAGAAAAGTCTGGGAAATGGGTAATTAGGTTGAATTAGCTACAGGTAGATTGAGTTAGGTGTAACTGGGTGATTAGGATATAATTATAATCACTATAAGTGAGAACTGAGTTAAATTAACTCTATTGAACAACAAATGGGCATCGTGGTACCCTCTGTTTTTCTCAGAACCAAAATCTAGCGTTAAACTAGCAAATATATGTCACTCTTTCCAGAAAGTTAACACGCTTTTTGTCTCTTCTGCTCCTTCATATCATTTGCTAGTTATAACTATAGAGCCTTTGTACAGTGCTATGGGAAGTGCAGAGATAAGCTTCTCTCTAACAGCAGATGCATTAAATGCAGGTGATATGAAGGCCAGAGGCAAAGGCCAAGGAGGAAAGCTAGGGTCGTGGAGCCTGAAATCAGGCCCGGTTAAGACTCAGGAGTGTCTGTGTAGAAAGAACAGAGCTCAGGGCCTGAGAAAATAGCTGCTGAACGTCCAGCACTGGGGTGGAAAAACGGGAAAAGAACCAGCAAGGGTCTTTCTTTCATCTCTCTCTTAAAGCAATGTCTCCTCCAGCTGACTTTACCTGTTTTTACATACTGTTGAAAGACAGAATTTAAATGCACATAGATAAATGCCCTCCTTTGGCTTCTATTTGCTATCCACAAATGAGGCAGCATTTCACCTAAAAATAGGAGCTATGCTGGTTATAGAATAGTCTGTTTTTATAAAACAACTTGAGCAGAAACAAAGCATCAGCATAAAACAAAAAAAAAATTTTTTTTATCCCTTTCCTAGTAAGGGATAGAGCAGAGAGGACTTCCTTAGGATGGGGGAAGGAGGCTATGGGCCTCTTTGGGGATTTAACTGTCTTTGTCTCTTGATTCCTCCAAAGGAATCAATTTGGTTGAGGTTTGGTGATGTGGAATTTCAGCGTCAACAACTCCATTATAGTTCAGTCTGTTGGGGCCTAGTGCAGGGACTCAGGCTAAGTTGAGGGGCTCTCAAATGTGATTTCACATCACAAAGCACTTTCTTTCACATTTGAAATGACATGTTTATTTTTATACTTTGAAAAAAACAATAAAACAAAAATACAAAAACCACCAGGCACATCAGTGTTTGTGACAGGGTAGGGTGACATGATACATAACGATGTATACACACATCCACTAATACGTAAAGAAACCACCTGTAGGAAAATCCTAGGCATAAGCAGATTCATGATAAAACACAATTGAGGGCTTTGCTTACATGTCTAGTAATGCTCATGATATTGCCATTACTCTGCGACACCCTGTTTGCAAAAGTCAGCAAAGTAGGCTTCAAAATACGATTCTTGTTTTTTAGCAGGACATTTTTTGCTTCCTAAGAACATCAATTTTGCTCATCTATTTTGTGCATAGGAAGTAAGAGGGTATAAAAACACAGATGCAAACATTTTACAGCAAATTGGAATCCCAGGTCTAAAAATTTTAAAAACAGGAGTGGTTATAGACTAAACACTTCCTTACCAACAATATTGCCATATTCAGTGGAAACATTTTTGCCCCATTGAAAATATCCCTAGTGTGCGTGTCAAAATATCCCTAGTGTGCGTGTCTTAGTTACTTTCTTCATCGGTAAGACACAATACCCAACACCGGCAAATTAAAGGAGGAAAAGTTCACTTTGATTCATGCTGCAGTGCATGGTCAGGGGCTCCCAGGCAGGACAATGTGGCACAGCACTGTGGCACAGGAGAGCTGCTCGCCTTATGTTGGACAGGAATCAAGGAGTGAAGGAAGGAGCCGAAAATGAGATGCAGCTGCAGTGAACCTGCACTTGGTCTCACTGGACCCTGCCTCCTGATTGGAGGCCAGCCGCAAACCCCATAATCCACTCATCTTCCAAACCCCTTCCCATGAGAACATGAGGATTTGGGCACCTTATAGATCTAAACCGTAACAGTACATCAACACCCAGAGAGCATGTTCCCCAGATTCTGACCGAGCTACTTAGGGACAGACTCAGAAATCAGCTGTGTTACAGAATCTGCAGTGGTACTGATGCTGGAAGTCTTCAAACTATGCTTTGAGCAAGACTGGCTACAGGGGCCATTCAGCTTCATCTAGTCACAGGAAGCTTTAGTTGACCTGTGTTATTTTCTTAGTTACTTTGAACTTATTTTCTCAGATCTCTAGACAGAATTACATGCAAAATTAATCTTTCTAACTCTCCTTACAAATGCAATATTGCCCAATAAATCTGCTAAGATTTGTACTGAATCATCTTTTGGATATTGATTTTAAAAATGTGTTTCTTGTCCATGCTAATTATGCATGTACAGTTTACATTCTTTTCACATTTCTGCATGCTTCACTTAAACTATCAAACTTTTATTTTATTCTGTTCTGTACCACTGTTTTTTTACAATGCTGGGAATTGAACCAAGGGCCTCATGAATACTGTAGGCACTATTCACCTAAGCTACACTTCCAACTGCCAAATTTTATTTAGGCAAAATTAACAGTGAAACAACTCAAAATTTTAAAGCGAATGACTAAAATTAGAAACTTTTAAACTTATTGGTGACAAAATGTACTCACTTCAAACTTTTTGAAAAGCATATATTGTTAACTTCAATTTTCTTTCAGCTTTGCAAGTGAACAACCACTACAGAAATCTAGGATGGTCTGTTATTAGCCTCTTAATAGCACCAAAATTCTACCATTTTTCAGGTAATGAAAAGCAAAGATTTTGCTTCCTATACATATTCTCTACAAAAAATTTTTTTCCAAACCCAGCATGATAGATAATTCACCAGGGTTAAGAATTAGGAAAATTAAATGTTGTATTGATTCTGCCCTTTATAACAAATCAAAGAGGTAACTCTTTGACCTTAAGCTTCCTAATCCATGAAATGAAAGTATAGAAGCAGATATCATCTGATATCCACTCCCTCTCTTTTTAAAAAAATGTTCTAGGGTTCTAAGCAAAGTGAAATGTTTGGGGTAAACTCCTCTACATCTACCCCTCCGAAGATTTTCAAACCTTAATTATGGCACATAATATGATAACAGGAAACCAGACTGAGTAATAAAGAAAACAATTTTAAAATACAAGGAATGCCCTGGTCTTCCTATTTATCCTGTTGTTTCTGTAGCTCTCACCTGTGCACATGTGTGCTCTGATCATCAGTGTATAGCATGTACCTTTTTCCATTCGTTGATAAGTTTCAAAGGATCAGGCGCCTACCCTATTTTTAGCCCCATTATCCCCTGCCACGTTGCCTTTTATGTCACAAGTGCCCACCAAACACCTGAAATATAAGCAGGGAAAAAAACCCTGTGATTATGCCACCTGCACCTTTATTTGGTTTCCTTTGAATTTTAAGACAACCTTAGAGATACAACACAAACAGATGGTCAGGTGGTGTTAGCCTAGAATTCTGTCCGCTCTACCATACTGCTGATGGTCTTAATGATACATAATGACACACATCACTCTCCAGTTATGAAAAAAAGCTGCAAATAATCACCCTTCTCTTCTGCATGGTGGTGCCAATGGTGTGACCCGAATTCAGACACTAAGGGCTTTAAAGGTCACCTAAGGAAGTGACAAAACACAGGATTGAGGGTTATAGTTTTGTTTAATCTCCTTAATCTTCTGCTGTTCTTTAGCTCCAAAATAGGCCAAAGCTAACACGCGCAGTACTGCTGCTGACCCAGGATAATAGCCCTTCTCGGAGCCTGGCACAGGGGCTTAATTCCTTTGAGATCAGTTAAAGCTCCTAATCGTGGAGTTTACTGCCCACAGTGACTGTGCTTTGAGGCTCTACTTGAGGAGCGCACAGCCAATCCTGAACTTCCTGTAGGCGAAGTGGGCTAAGATTTAAGGAAATGTGTGGCGTCCCTGATGTTTAGCACAAACAATAAAAACCTGAGCGACACTCTACAAAGCATTTTTACTATCAGATTTAATTCTCATAGCAAGCCCTTGAGCTCTACAGAGTGAATATTCTTTTTCATTTTACAGATTAGAAAACTGTGTCTTACTGAGGATCACACAGCCTAGAAGGGATAGAACTGGGTGTCAACCCCAGCCTCTGACTGTGGCTCCCTCTCCTTACCATACCTTTGGGGGGGGGGATGTGGGTGTATACATTCTTATGCAGGTATATACTTAAGTGTGTCATATAATTATGCACATGTAATTATTACTGTGGCTTTTAAGGAATTTCCATAAAAACCCCAGTTACATTTTTATTTCATTTGCCTATTTTGTTTTCTTATTAATGAGTTCTCAACAGTAACCATCTCAAATTTCTCAAAACATTTCTTAACATGCACAAATTAGAATTTTTCTTCCCTGTTAACACATATACAGTGAAGGAAATACAAGAATGGCCATTTTGTGCTATTAGAATTCATAATTACAGTTTTTTTTTTAATTCAGCCAGAATTCACCTACTTGGAATTCTTATCCATCTGAACTCCTTTAAGAATCAGTGAGAACAAAACCTAACATCCTCTAAAAAGTTTTTACAAAATGCTTTTTATGCTTAAGAAGATCCCTTCAG